CTTTGCTTCGGCGGCCCCGCCAGGGCAGCGTCTGCATTGCGCGCCCTCTCTCTCCCTTCCAAACGCCTCCCGAAACCACGGGGGAGGGGGGGAGAGCCCAGGCTATAGGAAGGGACCCCCTCCCCAGCTTTCCTTCTCTCTCTCCCCCCCGCCCCCCGGCGCCCAGCCAGGCAGGAGGGCTCCTCGGACTTCCATGGAGGAAGGGGCAGCCTGTGCGGAGCGTGGATGTCGTCATCATTACTCTTCAGGCAGAGTGCTCCGGAGCATGAGAAAAGTGCCCCGCTCATCAGGCTGCACATCCTGCAGGAAACAAACCAACGCCACCAGGGCAGCACCTCCACCGCAGCAGGCCTTTTTTTTTGCATTCCTAGGGCCTGATCCTGACTAGCCTTAAAAGGAGTAAATCCGACTAGTTTATAACACACACAGACACACACAGACACACACACACACACAGAGAGAGAGAGACCGAGATAGGCTTTTGCAAAGAAGTCACCTCCTTTTCCTTGAACAAGTCTGATGACATAGACTTGTCCAGGACAGCTCACATTCAAAAAAATATAAAAGTCATGTGCCACCACCTTTTTGTCTTTTTTGACTTTATATTTCGAGTTTGTTTTTACGTATAATGCTTGGAGAGCCTCTCAAGTAGGTTTCTCGTACCAGTACTATGTTCTCCAGTTTGCTTGTTTGCAGGAGCATAGGAACCCCTTTTCAGATACTCACCCACAGCAACAATATAATCACACCAAAGACAGTGCAGGGGGCTATCCAAAAGAGATATTTCCCAGAAGACTCAATAACTCAATAGGAAATCTAGGTCAAGATTGCAGGCTGAAACATCAACAAGGAAGTAAACTTAAATTCTAGAAAGTGCAGTGAAAGCTGTTGTCAAAGTACTTAGAAGAAATACACCACTGAAACTAGTGTTATTCCAAGCTACAGAGACTGAATCAATATGCCAACAAATATGGGGTGGGTGGAACTATGCCCCACAGACTGGAAATATTCAATACACATTCTAAGGAAAAGAGGTAAATGTATTTATTTTATTTATTCTTTCGATTTATACCCGCCCCCCTAGACAGCATCTACTCGGGGTGGCTTACAAAATATTGGACCATTCCAATAAGTTTCCATGCAATCAGTGTCATGCTGAAGATTTTAGAACAAATGTGTTTACCATATATAGAGTGAAAAATATCCAGTTTTTGAGCTGTACCAAAAATTTCAGAGGAAAATCAGTTTGTTTTTTGAGATTACAGAAAAGTCATTGACTGGACAGAATGTGAAAAACTATGGGTTTTTCTGAAAGAAATGGACATGCTACCACCTCTAATTTTCCAGATTCATGACTGATATACTGTGGACTCCTGTTAAGACAAATGTGGAGAAACAGAATGGTTTTCTGGGGGGAAAAATGTATCAGACAAGGTCTATTTTACCTCCCCCTCTGTTCAATCTGTATGCATATCATACAGAAAGCTGGACTAGATTCAGGGGAAAATGATGGAAGAAAGTCAATGATTTGTGACACACAGATGACTCCTGGACTAGATTCAGAGGGAAATGATGGAAGAAATGTCAGTGATTTGTGACACGCAGATGACACCATCTTACTGGCAGAAAGCAGCAAGAACTTGAAATGACTTTTACAGAAAACAAAAGAAGAAAGTGCCAAAGCAGGAGTACAGTTGAACATGAAGAGAACTCAACAGTCATGACGACCACAGAAGAATGACACAACTTTATTACTGACAATGAAGAAACTGAAATAGTTAAGGGATTTTGCATACCTGAGATGACAGCCAAGAAATCAGATGATGACTGAGATTAAGAAGGGGAGCAAAGATGGAGTTAGATCATCATATGTAAGGTCTGAGACCAAGGCCAAGTTTATCACAGATATTACTGTCAAAGCTGGACAATTAACAAACAAACAAACAAACAAAAAGCCATATTTGAAGTGTGGTGTTGGAGAGATTCCATGGCACAAGAAGAGGGCCCTCCTAAGAAAAGACTCCACCTCCACAGGAAAACAGCATGGGGTAAAAATAAAAAATAAAAAGGAAGAGCAGATAGGAGATGGTTTGAATCCAGAAAAGAAGCCACAGCCTTGAGTCTGTAAAACCTGAGCGAGGATGTTCCCGATAGGATTGTTTGTCTGTAGGTCAGATGGCGACAGCAGCCACGAAATTAAAAGACGCCTGCTTCTTGGAAGGAAAGCGATGACAAACCTAGACAGCATCTTAAAAAGCAGAGACATCACCTTGCTGACAAAAGTCCGAATAGTCAAAGCGATGGTTTTTCCAGTAACCATGTATGGAAGCGACAACTGGACCATAAAGAAGGCTGACTGTTGAAGAATGGATGCTTTTGAATTGTGGTGCTGGGACAGATCCTGAAGCTGAGGCTCCAATACTTTGGCCATCTCATGAGAAGAGAAGACTCTTTGGAAAAGACCCTGATGTTGGGAAAACGTGAAGGCAAGAGGAGAAGGGGACGACAGAGGATGAGATGGTTGGACAGTGTCATCAAAGCCCCCAACATGACTTTGACCCAACTCCAGGAGGCAGTGGGAGACAGGAGGGCCTGGCATGCTCTGGTCCATGGAGTCACGAAGAGTCGGACTAAACAACAAAAGGCCAGACCAATGATGGCAAATAAAACGACAACGTCAGGGTCAAGAGAGAAGAAGCAACGGGCGGAGGGGGAAAGAGATACAGTGAGTTAGGGGCAAATTCTGGTTCGCTCCCCTTCACGACTCCCAGAAAGGGAACCAGAGGAATAAAGCCCAAATGGGTTCCTTCAAGAATCTGTATTTCCACAGGGGCCCATGGCTATGGGTCGCCTCAACCATGCCCACGTGTTTCTCGGGGACCGGGATTGGCAGGTGTGAGCAGAGTGGCCGCAGTCTGGCCTCTTCCCTGCAGGGGCTTCTCCCCCGAGTCAGCCCCCATCAGCCAAGGAATGTTCCCCAACCTGGCTTGACCTGCCAGCCCATGCTTCTTCCTTGACACGCACCTCTCTGAGCATCACGAGAAGGGAAGCGGGACCTAAAAACACCCTCCCTTGGGAAATGTTTCGCTCGTGCTGGTGGTGGGCGCACAAGGGGGCCATGGCTTTTAAAGATATTCAAGGCCTTCAAGATCATTTTGGGGGGAAGGATGAGAGCCTTCCTGAGCCTGCATTTGGCATGCAAACAGTGCAAACTGCACAGAAGACACACGGTAACATCCCCAGGGCCTGGGGGCTGAGAGAGGGTTTGCAGGATACACTTCCAAAGACTTTCCCCCTGCCCACCAGCTTTCTTCTGATCCCACCACATCTCCTGTTCTCTTTAAGGCTCCCAAGGAGTCACGGCTGCTCCGCAAACAGCTGCATGCATCTGCCTTCCTTGGGGGTCCTTCAGCACAAACCAGCTGCTCTCTTGGGGGAGATAAGAATGGGAGGCTCACTGTGGCTCAGCCTCCCCCCCCACCTCCCACTACCTCATGTACAAAGCCCTCCCCACAGAGCTGGATGGGGTGGGACACACGGGTGTGCATGTGCGTGCACGCCTTGCCCGCTCAGGCCATGCCAGACTTGCTTCACTCCATCTTGAACAGCTTTGGGTTGTTAAATTCTCCGGCTGCCCGTGCAAAAAGATAAAAAGCACGGCGGGGCCTCCGCTCGCAAGAGGAGGGCCGTGTTTGGGCAGCTGGGTCTGACCTCAGAGGACTTTCCTCCGCTCCAGCTGGGATGCCAAAGAGGGGGCATTCGCACCCCTCCCCAAACCACCTTGCTTGGTTGACTCATTCCAGGCAAGAGAAACCACACACGAGGGCGGCTTTAGCAACATCTTGGTAGTGGCCGGCATTTGAAGAGCGGTGGTGGTCACGGCCGGCCAGCATAAGCCACGGTCTCCCTTCGGGACCAGCTTGCGTGCGACCCCGACTACCTGACTTCCTAAGTGGCAACCCTCTTGGGTTTTTAAGTAGCATCCTCGTTGCCACCATGAGAGAGAGTGATCGCACTGACGGGCCTGGCAGAATTCTGATGCACCTTCGATGACTGGGTAACCCCGGTGCTGCGGCAGGTTGGCACAGGCAGTTATCATCCACAAGCGCAGGAATGGAGGTGGTGACGGCAGCAAGGTGAAGCAAGAAGGCAGGGGCCAAGAGGAGGGACGGCACAGCCCCTCGGTGATGCACAAGCCTTCGTTCGGCCAGCACATGTTTTGCCTTCATTAGCTTTCTGCAGAAGCGGTCCCCTGATGCAAAGGTGGATGCCTTTGCCATTCTTAATTGGTCGAAGGAGTAGAGTTTGCAAGGAGCTGGGAGGTCACCCCATCTCCGCAGAGCTGCCTGCGTCGTTCCACGCCAGGGCAAAAACAAAAGGAGGCCAGTGAGTCACCAAGGAAGGACAGGGAGGAAAGGGGGAGAAGGCTGCAAAGCCAGGCTTGCAAAGCAGAGTTGCGTTCCATCTTGCGGCTTGCAATCCCGTGTTTAGGAAGCGATCAAAGCTCAACGTCTTTCCACGGGACTCCAGTCCTCCTTCTGACATTCCAAAATGTCCAGTAAAAATCACTCATCGGAAACCCGACGACGCAAAAAAAGGGGGACCGTTATTACGTTTGGCCTCCATTCCCCGTTGCGCCAAACATGCATGAGATCCAAAGCAGCCTCTTCCTCTCAGCTGCCTGAAAAGGCACATCCCCATCATGTGACCCTCCCCCCCCCCAGCAATGTGCTAGCAAAATAATTAAGGGTGTGAAACTTAGCTGCTAAACACCCAGTCTCTGTTCAGGCAGGTTCTGTGTGAGGTGCCTACAGAACCTGCTTGACCAGAGTCTTCTTCGCCCGGCTCCGCCACCTCCTGGCCCAAAGCCGTTTGGCCTCCTGGGCCAATTCTGGCTGGGCCCCAGCTTCCTTCTTTGTACTGAACGAATGCTTCTCTACGATCTGCAAAAGCGAGCAGATGAGTGGCCCAATTCCACCCGTAAAGGGCCACACAGCTCTCTTCGATATTCTCCCTGGGTATTCTTGCTTTTATGTTTTTGAAAGGTGGGGAACAATTATCTGAGAAAGAGAGCCAGGGCTGGGTGATGCTGGCACACCGTTTCAGCTCCTGGCAGCTTCAAGTAAAAGGATCTTCTGTTAAAAACAGAGAGGCAATGCCGGCAGAACATGCAACAAGGTGTGCATGCCAATTTCTCTCCTTCAGGAGCTGCAGGGACAGAAGAAACTGGATGTGCTCAGAACTCCACTTCTAATGTTCAAAAAAATTGAGTATTTTGGAGCATTCCATGGTACAGAGCGGGAGGATGGTACATTGAAATGGCACCTTGCTATTTTGAAGGAGAAGGCTTGAAGATCTGTTTTGGTGTTGAGGGGAGCCACAGAGCCCCCCCCAAAAAACCCTAGCTTTGGGGGGCACACTTTCCTAACTCCTGATTCAAAAGCTGGAAGCCATCCTTTAACAGGGTACAGGCTGCTCCAACCTGGCCGTTGTGCAAGGCAGAAGGGGCTCCAACCCAGAGGTAAACCAGGACCCAAGTGTTTGGGGGGGCGTGCACCCCAGGGGGCCTCGGGTAGACACAGCATTGTTCGTCACAGGAATCAAATTAACTGATCCCCAGGTGAGAAGCAAGAGAACTCACCTCTTTCCATTCCCCCTGATGTTTCAAGCTCTCGGCCGCCGCCTGCCGAGCGGATGCAACTCATGGTTCGGGCGACCCTCGTTTTGGCAATCAACCCTTGCCAGCTGAGCCAATGGGAAGCAACGAGGGGAGTCCTGTGGCATTTGAAAGGGCACAAAGGCCTCAACTTTGCTGTACAATAGTGATGCTGGTTGGGCTTTGCTGCTTGTGGAGTCTGGATAGCCTTGTTGGGTTACCCAGACCCCTCCAAGGGGCCCCCACTAGCACCCCTGTCTACCACACTATCCTGGGCTCCCCTTGGCAATGGCACAGAGAAATCTCTTGGGCCTCCTCCTCTGGCCCACAGGCCCAGTTTCCCTCCATCCCCTTTTTTTCTGGGGCTCTAGAAAGGAACTCCTCCAGGCCAGCGTTCGACTTGGTGGGAACACTCATTTCGTTGCCCTCCGTATCAAAGTGGCTGATGCGTTCCGCTGGCAAGACTAGATAAATAAGCTTGGAGAAGAAGCATGGCCATCATTACTTCATCTCAACTTCTCTGTTCTTCTCATGGGAGGGGGGAGCGTTGCATCTTTAATCTCCTTCCACCTCTCCCTCTCTCTCTCAGCACGACAGTTTCAAACGCAACAGGACTCCTCACTCCTCTTTCCAAAGGGTCGGTGGGGGAGTGCCAACCCCGTTGCCTTGCGTCAGGCCTGCCCAGCCTCATAAATCAGCCCTTCTGATACACTGGCCATTTCCAATGACATCCAACTCTTCCTTTCATTAGCTCATGATTTATCACTGGAAGGTTCCCTCTGATTTTATGTCCAATTTATAAACTTTTTTTTTTACTTCTTCTCCTCCACCCACCTCTGCTCGATAGCATGCTCACTTTTTGTCCATCAGGCAATGAGACAGGAAATTTATTGTCTATGAAAGATGACATCAATGCAAAAAGCGTGCTTGTGTTTCTCGTTCGCAGACAAAGACGCGCTCATTGGAGAAACTGCGCTGGGTGGGGATGATGGGCGTCATGAGGTCACATGTAGATCGACGGCATATATACCCAAGATGGGGGAACGTCGAGCGAAGCCACCCCGAGCCAGTGGGGAACTCCGCGGGAAAGCAGCCGACACCAGGGAAGAGATGATGGAGAAGCTGGGGTGGATCTGCCTTTCTCTCGTCAGCCTCTCCGCCCCACTTGGGGCATTCCCCATGGCCAGCTCCAGCGAAGCATCGCTTTGGGTCCCAGGTTAGTCTTTCCTCTTTGGTGGGTCTTCTTCCTTGCGTATGGAGAGTGCATCTTCTGGAGAGGGGGAAATGCCTTTCCCAGGGTGCCCGCCCCTTCTCTTGTGTTCTTTCCTTAGTTGCCAGGGGGTCCCTCGTTTTGGAGGCAAAAGTGCAGCTCATATGGTCTTGCATGCATGCATGCAACGGCACGCTGCTTGGCTGCTGTCAACTGAAGGCGAACATGGTCACAGAAATGGGGTGCACTGGAGGCCCCATGCAGTGCTAGCCATGGTCCAGGTCTTTCAGACCTGCCAGCCCAATGAGCTCTCAAGGGACTGGACTCTTTGCTGGGAACTTGATGAAAAAAACACCTTCTGTGCTCCTCTTGGCACTGGCAAGCGAGCTCTGTCTTGAATAAACAGCCGCTAATAAAGGACTCTACAGGCAGACTTTAGGTCCTGAAATATCATCCATGCGGAAGAGGAGGAGCGCCAGCCACCTCCAGAGAAGGCAGGCCAAGGGGAACTGGCCATGACTCTGCATGTCACTCTCCGTGGTGGGTGAGGGCACTGGAGAGAGCGCGGACACTGCCACGGAAGAGACAAAACTTTTAGCAATTGAAGTAGGAAGCTAGGAATTGGCCCTTCTGCCGAGACTCAGACCCTTGAGCCATGGACCTCGGGATTACTGTCCGTCTGCTCTGACTGGCAGCCAGAGATGTTCTCCAGGCAGAATCATTGCTCCAGGTTTAGAGCTCTGGGAATCCCGAAGGGTCTCCCATCCAAGGATTAACCACAGTGCTTAGCTTCTCAGTCAAATGAGACCTGGCCTACTCCGGCTGGTAGCAAGGCTCGGACAACTCATCTCAGCCATAGGTCTGGTGGCAGAGCCCCATTTCCAAAAGGGGTATGTTCTTTAACAAACAACATTGTTTCACACCGATGGAGATCTTTCAGAGGCAGAGCCCCGTTTCCAAAAGGGGTATGTTCTTTTGTTTTGGGGTTGCTTAACAAACAGCATTGTTTCACACCGATGGAGATCTTTCAGCCGACCCAGGCCAAGCGCACGGGGCAGAGAGAGACTCTGGTCTCCGTCAGCAACCTTAAGCTTAATCCTTTTCTTTAAAAGGCAACCTTCCGAGGCAGCATCTCCCTCTCATGTACCGATGATGGGGAAGAGGGTCACTGGGCTTGGGAGCTTCCCCATGGTTTTCTCCCTTTGGATAGAAGAGACCCCATGAGGATGGGGTCAACACTGGGGTGGGTCAAAGGAGGGGGGTCCTGCCGTTCTTAAGGACTGCCAAGTTAAGTAGGGGTGGCTGCCTCAAGAGGAAAAACAGGCAAAAAAAAAACGTTGGGGGAACGAACCACACCTTTGTGGGTCTATGAGTTTCTCCCACAGAGGCCTCAAAAGAAGCACACAGTCTTATACTTGGCTACCCTGTCTCTCCCCACCCCACCCCCCGCCCATGCAGCCTGGGGCAGGGCTTCTCAGCTCCAGGCACCACCGCAAAAACTCATCTCTCTCTCTTCTCTCCCTGCACAGCCATCGACGAAGATGCCGGCCTCGGTCTGGAGGCCCTAGGCAGCTGGGACAGGCGGTCCCTTCCCCAGAGCCTGACGGGGCTGCTTGAAGCAGAGACAGACAGGCAGGCAGGCATCATCCCCAACAAAGCAGGTAAGGACCAAAACAAAAACACAACCATCACTCTTGGGCTCTGTCCTGAGCCCAGATAGGTACGTTTGGGTCTCCCGGGGGGTGAAGGGCGGCTGGTTCTAAGCCTCTTGACTGTGAAGAAGATGAAAGGCCCACATCCTCTCCTGTCGCTTCCCTGCATTTCCAGGGCCTGCCCAGCCCTCGTGGGGGGGTGTTACGATCTGCCCTTCACCCTGTTCCCCAAATTCTGATGGGTCATCAGAGATGGTCTCGAGGGAGGCTCCTCTGTCTGAGGACACATGGGACACTCCACCCCTCTGCCCAGCAGAGATAATGTTCCTGCACCCAGCACGTGCAATAGGAGGTCTCCAGAGGGTTGGTTCTCTTTCAGCTCGCCCACCTCACTTTTCAGTCCTGATCTCACTGGGCACCAGCGTTGAGCCCAGGTCAGGCTGGAAAGATTGGCTGAGCGAACCGGTCCCTCTGAAAGAGGAAGTGCCGGGCCCCCTTGCACTCCAGCAGTGGGCGGGGAAGCTTCTTCACATGGAGGAGGGAACATGGCCCGCCTGCACATGCTCTGCAATTTCCCGAGAGAGAGAGAGTTTGTGTGTGTGCGCACACACACGCAGTAGGGGGCAATTGAGTCTCATCAGCTGGCCTCTGGTGGTCCATGGCTCTCTGCATGGGGTGGGGTCCACCATTAGTGCATCGGAGCCTCTCCCCAGCCACCCGAGACAAAGAACGTGCTCTGGGAACCCTTTTGTGCTTCTTGGTCAGACCCAGCTTTGTGTTGGCCCTCTCTGAAGGGGCCCACCATTAGTGCATCGGAGCCTCTCTCCAGCCACCTGAGACAGAGAACATGCTCTTGGAACCCTTCTGTGCTTCTTGGTCAGACCAGCTTTGTGTTGGCCCTCTCTGAAGGGGAGTTTACCGTAGACTCAAGACACTGCTCTGGCCAGACTGGCAGGACATGGAGGGGAGAGCAAGGCATCCTGCGGTCACTGGCTCTCTCCTCACGTCGTCTCCCGATTCCCTGAAAAGCTACCGTCCCCCGTCCCCCCCCCCACTTCCCTAACCTAGAAAGCGAAGCAAAAATGGCTCCCCAGTGGCCAGAGAATCCGGCTGTTTTCAGAATCTGAAAAGAAGCCAAGGTCCCAACGAGTTCATTGTTTCCAGAGAAGGAAGGGTGTTCTCTTAACTCTCACTAGTGGTTTCCTTTTCAGATCGCAGACCCAAAAGCTTCAAGGCAAGAGAAAACATCAAAGAGGTAAGGAGGAAACCAGCGGTTGGCAAAGTTCAGCCGCCTGTTTTCAGTGGCCCGGAGCTGCGGCTGCTCCCAGTTCGCACTTGTTACTTGGGGTGATCTCCTGCAGAACTTGACTCATCCAGCCAGTGCATGTATTATTTTAACTCCTTTCTGACTTGTTTATCCCTTTTCATGTTTCTTCACTTTTGTATCTTAAGGGATGGGAAAAGGAGGAGTTACATGGGGCACCAATAGGCGCTCCTCGTCCTGGCAGTAGAAGGACCTGGCACTTTCTACCCTGAAGAATCAGGGGAGAAATGGTGGCAATCTTCAAATACGCGAAGGGTGGCCATATGTGGAAGAGGGAGCCTGGCAAACGGGTTTCTCTGCAGCTCCAGAGGGCAGATAACAAAGGGGAGGAAAACAGGTTTGGGTGAGAACATGAGACGGGACCTCCTAGCTGTGCCACTGCGTACCCTGGGGAGAGCAGCTGTCTTTCCATCTGGAACACAGAAGTCAGTCCAGGCTGGGGGCTGCCCCCTTCATCGTACAGTTGCCCTCTGGAGCACGGAGCCAACCATGAGAAGGGCGGAAGCCCCTTGCTCTCCAACAACCCCATAGACCCTGGCCTGCCTTCTCCTGACAAATGCTCCACGGGTGGCCGCTCCACCAGAACCCCCTGCTTGCCCCATTTGGGGAGGTGGCGGCTTCCTATCCCTCTGTCTTAGCACTTTCGTCAGGTGGGGAGGTCTTAAGCCAAGATCTGCTTTTTTTTCCAGCTCACACATAGTTTTCTCCCCTTGTAAATGCCATTTCATTTCTGCTGCTCCATGAAAGGCAGCTGCTTGAGAGGTGGCTGGATTTTTCATTCCCATTGACGGTGCTTTCCTTCCTTTCTTCCTTTCCTGCTCAAGGCCCTTCTTGGTAACCTTCCACGGAAAGTCCTGCTCAACCGCTTGCTGCCGGCCAACCGAAAACCGTTCAAGAAACGCGGCAACCTCTCGGAATGCTTCTGGAAATACTGCGTATAACAAGCCAGTGGCAACAGATCCCCGATGCTGGTTGCCATCTACCCCACCTCACCTTGCTCCTTTATTTATGAGGCCGATTCAAGAACTGTATTAGCATCTTGCATCCATAGGTTTGTAGAAACTTGAAACATGGTTCAAATAAATTCCATCTCAAGCAGGCAAAAATACACTCTATACTCGTTGCTATCTGAGGGATTAATAAAATTTTGCTGGTTTTGCAAAGATCATGTGAGCGAAGCCGTTATTATTTGCTCAGAAGGTCTTCTTTGGGATTAAGCCATGAGCTGGGCCTGTGGAAATTCTTGCTGAAGTCAGTTTTTCCATGCAAAAGAACTGCAGTGACCTCTTGATCATCCATTGAAGAAATGGAATCATTATTATTCAGATTTTCCAGCGAGGGTGGAAAGGTGCTTAAGACTTCTCAGAATGAAGCTGAACGGTGTATGGGTGGGGTGGGGGCTCCTGTGCTGTCCCCTTTTTTATTCCATTCAAGTCACAGTGCACTTTTTCAACTACCCCCTTCCTACAAAGAGGACGGCTGGTTCATTCACTTCAAATGATCCCTGGCAGCTTAACTGGAATTGCAGAAGCCTTTCTGACGCATGTAATAAATCTTTATCTTGATGGGCCTCTGTTTTTCCATCAGAGGAATCAGCTCCAGAAGAGAAACATCCACCCTGTCTCTGTCACAACTCTTCAAGAAAAATAGTAAACAAGAACCAATTTCAAATCCAGATCAGCAGGAACAAATACTGTATAGTACAGTTCTAATCAAGAGGGAATGCCTGATGCTTTCACAAATATACATGACATCATGAAACTGTTCATACTTTTAATGCTTCTGTAACTTGACCTTGCTTGCACCTTCTCACTCAAAGAGACAGGTTCTTTTCTGATTTTTCAGGGCACCTCCCTCCAGTCATTGCCCTGCTTTGGTCTTCTGACCTATTACTGACTGACCATCACAAGTCATTAATAACCACTCAAGATGAAAGCCTAAGTAGCAGATGCACATTGTGTTTCTGAAGCAAGATAGAAAGATGTGGGTTTGAAGGGATAACGGCAGACAAGGCTGGGGGAGGAAGAACATATTTCATGGCTAGACCGTGAAGCAGGCACTCCGCTACACAACAGAAACACACAAAACATCTCTCCTTCATACACAACAGGCCACCTTTCAGAATCACAGAATACAGCGGTGCCTCGCAAGACGATTGCCTCATGGGACGATTAATCCGCAAGACAATTAGTTTTTTGCGATCGATGTTGCGCTTCGCAAGACGATGGTTTCCAATGGACAATTTTCACAAGACGATTTTTCCCTGATGGTTTCCAATGGACGATTTTCACAAGACGATTTTTCCCCACTGGAACACATTAAATAGATTTCAATGCATTCCAATGGGGAACCGCGTTTCGCAGGACAATGTTACAAAAACAAAGGAGGCAACATGGGAGGGGCAGACCTTTCTCCCCCCCCCCCCCCGCGTTCCTTCTGGGAGCCTGTATCTGGGGGAAAGTTCTAGCTTTCTGCAAAATGAGAGCAGCCTATTTGCGCATCAGGGTTTCATTGTGGGAATGCCAAGGTGGGCCTCTCCTGCCCTATGAATACTCCCAGTTTCCTTCTTCCACTGTGCACAAGGAAACTTATTCAAGGCCGAGAACAACCCACGTGTGAAGAAGTATCTCACAAGCCACAGTCCAGAACATGGAGAGATCAGTGAAAGGGGCACGGTGCCACTGGGCATTACACCCTCCGGCCGCTTCCATGCGGCAGAGCAGTAAGCCAGGCACAGCCAAGACGCAGCGGTGGAATCAGCGTTTAAAAAGCACAAGAATGACGACGGCTAGCCTCCAGGATCGGGAGATTTTAGCCAAACACTTTTAATAGGGGAAGTGAACCCTACAAAGAGGGCAACTGGCACTCAGGCCTTCCTACAGAACCACTACGCCAGCGACACCCCCCTCCCAACAAGGTACCAGCAGAGCCAGATCACCCACGTGGTCCTCTTTCAGGCCTTCCTGCAAAACCACTAGGCCAGCGACCCCCACAAGGTACAAGCAGAGCCAGATCACCCACGTGGTCCTCTTGAGGGAGGGAGGCGCCTGTCTTTCCACCAATGTCTTTCCTGATATCAGGGAAAGAGAAGGGCCCCACTCAGTCCTCACAGGGGGTTGGACACAGGCTAACTTGAAGGCTTCCAAGGAAGGCGGCTGTCCTATTTTCAACGTTAAGAGGTTCCTTTCTCCATCAATGAGATTCTTGCAGGTGTTACCTCTTTTGGCGTGTGGCCATGAACTGTTGAGAATCAATTTATGCTAAAAAGAGGACCTGCATCATCCCCACCGCAGACTTCACTTGCAGAACTGGAAAGGGACGGCGGGTGTGCGAGCAAATCCACCTTTTCCTGATGAAGAGAACTCGCTGGGACAAACTAGGTGGTGGTCAGAAAAGACACACACAAGGCATGCTGCGGAACGGACTGCCCGGGCAAGCCTTCCCTTTGTCCGGGTACACAGAGAAACTTATATTTTTTTAAAAAAAGAAAAGCAGACCTTTGTTCACAAGTGGAGATTCCCTCCCCCCAAGGTCCTGCGAGTGGCAGAGGTTGCAGGAGGGAAAGGATCTTCACCGAAAGCGAAGTTGTTGTGCATCGGGGAGCCAATCCAAAACCCTGGGGCTGGTCAACTAGGTTCCCTGGCAGACAAGGCAGCGGTGGAGTCCAGAGGCTAAGCACCGTGGCACCGTGCCCCTGGCTGTGGTTGGCAGGAAAAGGAACCACGTGGGCTGCTTGGTCCTGACGTGCCCTGCAGGAAGGGTCATTTCTGCCCAAGAATCCAGACTCAGCTGGGATGGGAAGGCAAAGGCTGAGCCTAAGAAAGGTGGCCCAGGGAGTCCTCTGGGATGGATCTGGTATCATCCATGGCCCACGTTGCAGAGAGCCCATGTTGCAAACCGGGACCAGTACTAAGTGCCTCTGTTTCAGGTGGGGGGGGGAGGAAAGGGTATAGGCTTTGGGTCCAAGGCTTCATGGAGCACGAGGGAAAGACCAGTAGGGTATAAAAAAGCTCAAAGTGTTAGGACCACGCCTGGGGGGGCAGCTGCAACGGCCCACGAAGGTGGCGGTCCTCTCCATCCTCCTCAGGTGGGGTTCCGTCCTCCAGGGCTGCAGCCTCGTCGCTGGTGTTCCCACCGTCGCACGTGGTGCAGCCCTAGGAAAGGGAAGGAGGTGATCAGGGGCCACTCGCGCAGAACCACCCAAGCCACGAGCCCAGCCCAGGTGAGCATCTCGTTTGCCACAACAGCCCCGCCAGGGCAGGCCGAGGGGTTGGGATGGCTCCTAAAAAGGACGCCCCCCCGCGCCGTGGCAGCTTTCAGAAAAGACAAGTGCATTATGGCAGAAGCCTTCCTTGACCTTTCTGCCCCCCCCCCAATGGGGCTGGAGAGGCTTCCTCGTTATAACAGTCCCCCCCCCCTTCCCTGGCTTTCCCACGCCACCAGCACTCGCAGGCCTCCAGGCTCTTGCTCACCCGGGTGTTGATTTCTTGCGGGAGAGTCTGGGTGAGAATCCAAGGGTGCACTTTGGCCAGCTCCTGCTTCTGCTCTTCGGAGAACCGCGGCTGCTGCTTCTCCATGGCAGCCAGCCGAGCCAGGTCCTCTCTCAGCACCTCCTCTTTCCTCCTGCGGAACACAGAAAACGGCTCCACACCAAAGTGGCAAGCAAAGGCAGACCACCTTTCCAACCCACCATCTCCCACGGAATCGAAAGCCACAGGGCTCTGAACTTTGCAGAGGAAAGGGTCAGAGGACCACTTCGGCATAATCCTCATCTCATCCCCCCTTCTGTTCCAACGTGGCCCTTCCCTCTATAAGGTGGGCTCCTATGTTCTGTCATGAAGGGTTAACCCACTTATAGCAACCCTAATAGGATTTTCCAGGAATGTGAGACATTTAAAGAGCAGTGTTACTAACCCCTCCCTCCCTCCCTATGAGTTTCCACGGCTAAGAGAGGACGTGGACATAAGTCTTCTGAGTCCTAATCTGTCACTCCGTCCACGAGATCATGCTGGCTCTCATAATGGAAAGGGGGCAGGATTAGTCACACACATTTTCCTGTAAGTATGAAGCAATGGCTTTGAAGCAACGCAGAAATGTTGGGGGATTTCCCTTGGCCTTTCTCTCTCTCTCGAGGCCAGGACAGATCAGCCTGCTTGGCTTGTTCCCCAAGAGGAGCTGCAGGTGGCACTACGGACTAAGGCCTGCTTGTTCACCTGGAGCAGCTAAATCTGGTCTTCAATGTCGATCTATCCCCGTAGTATCCATGGCCATTTTTGCTTGCTATTCACCAAGCCAGTGGGGGAAACGGGCCTCTTCAGCTGCCAGGTAGTTCTTTCCTTCCCTATTCACGCTCACAGGCCTCCCAAGTCCTCTGTCCTCCCTTCCTTGCCCATGATCAACATGGGGGTTGGGTGGGAATTTTGTGCCATGCGTTTGGCACATGCGGAGTTCCTGCCATGTACACTTCAGCTCCCACATGCAAAGAGGACAAGAGGAAGCTGCCTTGATGGCCCCAAACTTCCTCTAGGCTGGAAGTCACAGATGGAACCCCATTAAGGGTGGTCAGATCAGCCACACGTCTCCAGGGTGAGAAAAACCCTCTCCAGTTTCTCACAGGACAAGCAGAGCCACTACAGTTCAGAGAGAAGGTCTTCCCCGCTCTCTTATCATTCGAAGTCGCCAGCACCAACCTGGCTGGCCAAGACGGTCCCTTTTCCTCTTCCTGCCTTCTTCCTCTCTTGGAGACCTCAGAGGAGTCGCTGCTGGTGAAATACGTGCTGCTGTTCCTGCTCCCTGCCAGGGGAGACATGGCGGGTGAGTGAGTGGCCAGAACGCCAACGACTGGGCAGAAGGGGCTGCTGCCTGCTGGGCCCTTGCTCTTGGTGGGCTTGCTCTTTCCAAGGAAACCCACCCCAAGCTTTCTGGTTCCACGCTGAGGGCCCCTAACCCTCACCCCATCCCCTCCTTCTGGGCCCTTGAGCTATTTGCCTTGCTCACCGTCAGGCCTTGAACGGAGAAGGGACCCTGGAGGTGCACAGCACATGCGTGATTGTATGGCTGTCGCTGTGCCCCCTCTCCCAGATGTTGCTGGTCGCTGAAAAATCTCTCTTGTCCTCATGGAAGGCAAGGAGCCCACTTCAAGGAGCTCACGCCACCTGGCTGCTGTCCCTACCTGTGCCGCAGCCCGAAGTCCCATTGGAAGCCGAGGCCAACGAAACGGACCTGGCAGATCCACTGCCCGAGGTGGCTGAGCCTGTTCCTGACTGAGAGTCCTCCAGCATCAGCAGGTCAAACAACTCACTGGAAACGGAGTGGCCGTCGTGATGGCTGCTGTCTTCTCCCTCTTCCTCCTCCTGCAGAGAAAAAGAGACAAAGCCACCCCCCAGCGAAAGTGACCATCGTTACGCTGGTGAACCGGGAACAGTTGCGCCTTTGGTAGGTAGTGCGATGCAAGGACTGGAAGTCCCAGCCATCCTCATGGCTTGCTCTTCTGAAAGTTAAACGTTCCAGGAAACCTTCTCCCCCCCCCCCAAAGAAGGTGCTGAGTTCCTAGAAGTCAAAGCATGCAGTCAGGTCTAGGATCGGCTCCTGCCACCAAAGACCAGCCACTAAAATACCATGGTGGCGACCTCAAATGGTTTTGGAAACAAAGTGGGCCTAGGCCTGGTGGGATCCCAGACTGAAGGCAACACGGGGCATCGCCAGCGAGGAAAGGATCCTTCCTGGGACTTGGGAGATCCGGGGACTGCTGTACAAAAGGAGAGCGGGTTTGCTGAAACCAAAATTAAGCCAACAGCTTCTAAACAGTTTCACGTTGGCTTTAATGGGTCCACTGATCTTTAGTACCACAATGGCCAGATTCTCAGGAGTGGAACTCTTTGTGTCAGGGGTGACTCTTGCACTTTGAATGGGCCACAGGGGGTGGCGGTGGCAGTAAAAGCAAGTTGGCAGCCCTCATCTAGACAAGCAGACAAAGGGGCTGATCTAGACTCCACCGGCAGCTTCTGACGTCCTTAAGTAGGAGGATCTCCTTGGACTGCCCCAGTGGAGCAGAAGATGCACAAGGGAGGCGACGCCGGGGGGTCTTGGCTCCCTAGGCAACCTGTTTGGGGTTGGCCTTGACCACGACCCCTGACCCCTCAAGACATTCAGCTTCCCCAGCCCAACAGGGGTCCGGACGAGTCAGCAGGGTCTCTGTGGCTGCACAGCTGAGGGTCCCACCTGTGAATACCCAGTGGACGCTGGAAGGAGGCTCTGTCTATGCCCATGAACGGAAACCGACCCAACGCAGCACCCTGATCTTCGCTCCTCAGCTGCATCCCTGGGAGACAGAGGGAGGAGTTAGAATGGCACCTTCCCCTCAAAGAGGCTGATGGACCCACGGAAGAGGAGGAGGGGGTGTGGAAGGAGACAAGTTCAAAAGGAAAGATCCCCCCCTGAAAGCCCGGGGACGACCACGCCATCCACAGAAGGAAAGCCCTGATAGGCACAAGCCGCACGATGGGAGAAAGAGAGAAGTCAAGGTCACCCCAGCCAGCCCACCCTCCAGAGTCCTCAAAAATAACCCCAAGGAAAAACCTCTCGCCACGTGGACAGGGCAGTGGCTCCCCACCCTCGTTCTGCCACATCTGTGGCCCTGCTGCTCAATAGCAGGCGGGGCCGACCTTTGCCAGGCTAGCCCCACCCCCACCCCCCTTTCTCTTTGGAGTAATCGTGGCTGAAGCTTACCGGCTGGGTGTCTCCTGTGCCCGCCTTGGCCGGGGCTTTGCTGGGGGGTTCCGGCGTTTTAGGCAGCTCTTCCTGGAGGAGGTTCAACTGCAGCGGGGAGCTGCTGCGCGACTGGCTCAAAAGGGGAGGCGGCTCCTCTTTGGGCAAGACGGGTGCAGGAGGCAGGCGGACGGGCTCTGTGGCCCTCTGGGGGTCAGGGACAAACCTGACAGCAAGGGGGGCAAGGGGCCCGGTGGGGCAGGGAAAGGCAGGGGACAAGCAGGGTTGTGGCTGCCCCGGGGGAAAGGCCTGAGGAAACAGGGTGCCTCCCGGGACGGGGTGGACAAACACAGCCACGAGGTGGCCCGCAAATGGGAAAGGGAGGGCTGGGACGACGGAGGGCAGGGATGAGGGAACGGCAGGGGCTGCCCAAGGGAAGGCCTGGCTCCCTCCTGGGGAGTCCAAGGGAAAGCAAGGGGCCGCCGAAGGGGGGGCAGGAAGACTTTGGTCGGAGGGGCCTGAGGGCCTGGGGGGGATCCTTCAGGGGGGAACCAGGATGGGGGTGCTGGAACAGCGCCCCGCTTCCGGCAGACGGCTTTGCTACCAAGACAGCTGCTCTTCGAAGACGCCGGGGACCTCTGGTGCCCGAATTTCCCTGGTGCGCTGCGGTTGTACCAGCTTCCTGGGAAATCTCCTAGAAACAAGATGCAAAGCCCCATCAGGCTGTGAAGCAGCAGAGAGAAGGCTGAGGAAGATCCCTTTGACACTCCTTTCGTTTCCAAGGACCTCTGCTTCCCTTTCACCGACATCGTCCTCAGGCAGACAGGAGCAATGTTCCTTCACTCTCCTCCACCCACCTGAAATAGCTCCACCAAGCTTTCGCTGACCTCCCTGTTTCATTTCCCCAGCCTTTCTACTCCTATTGATCTGACAAGGGCCTTGCGTGCTTCCTCCCTCAGCAGAAACTCCGTTTCCAGACACACTCTGACCTCATCACTGTTGTCCCTTCTTCCTGTGCAAGTGGTCTTCAATGGTGCTTACTGGTAAGCCGAGCTAGCTGTCCTGGACCGATGGCCACCTGCTCTCTGGGTGCAACGAACATGCTCCCCCCCTCGAGTGTGCCCTGGAAGTGTTTCTTCCCTCTCTGCAGAAAAGCAGGTCCCAGGTGGGCTGAGAAAGACCGACAGGCTGAGCGATCCGACTAAGAGCGGAGGCCCCGCCTCAGGGGTCACCTCGGCTGGCAGGTGCCTACCTTGGTCCTGGGAAGGAGCCGGGTTGCTCCCAGCCCCTCCGTGCTCGAAGTACGAGTGGTACGGTGGCAGCAGCAGCCTCTGGTGGAACTGGTCCACATAGTTCTGCTCCTCCTTCTGTGTGTGAGCTGACAAGACCTCCTTGGTCAGCCCCACTTGCCGGGGGGGTTCCTCCAGGGTGGTGGCAAACGTGGCAGGGGAGGTGGCGGCAGCACCACCTGGAGCGTGGGCTGGAGAGAGGTCGGTGGCCTCGCCTTGCAGGAGCACTTCTTCTAGCGCTGTGGCCTCTGCAAGAGGAAAGGAAGGGAAGGAGGCCCTCTGATGAGTCCAGTGGGAGCCGTGGCTAGCTCCAGGGGAGCCCACCATTCACTGAGAAGCCAGCCTGGTTAAAAGGGATGCCTAGAACCCACAAAAAACATCCAGGCAGCTTCTGAACCAACAACAGTGTCCTGGGTGAAGGGAGGAGAGAGGAGAAGGGAGATTTCGGCACCGAATGCCCTCTATGCCCCAGCGTATCAAGGATCTTCCTGTGCCCACGAAGGAGATCTTGCATGCATCCTCTACAGAATGCACGTGGCTGGATCCGTCTCCACAGAGCTCGGCCAAGAGGACCCCACCACCTCAGCTGGCACCGGATGCTCCGCTCTGTCTTGCACAGCCAGGCTTAAAAAGGAAGGCTGGAGGCCGGGGCAGGCTGTGGTTCGGATGGGGAATCTCGGGTGCTCGCCCAGGCCAAAACGGCCAACTCAGCTCCAAGGCTGGGTGTTTGGACCTGTTGGGATTTGTGCAAGAAACGGGCGCTCATTGGGGAGAGACCAGAGGAGGGTGCTGGGTTTGGGAAGGAGCCGTTCCCGGGCCGAGGGGGGACCCACCTGACTCCGGATGAGGGAAATGGACGAGGGTGCTGCTGTAGCTGCACTGGCTGGTCACGGACGCCACGCTCAGAGCCTTGCCTGCCAGGGCCAGGTCGGCCATCGGGGGGCCTAACGCCGTGGCCAGCACCTGTGGCGGCGGCACCTCCTCCTCCTCTTCCGGCCCACCCACTGCAGCAGGTTGGCCAGCAGTGGCAATGGAGCCCGATCCTGAAGGTCCTGGTACCACAAAGAGGGCCAGCCGTAATGGCAGAGACAGAGAAGAGGGCAGGGTTATCCAAAAGACGGAGGGGGTCTTCCGTCAGACAAGCCCAGCAGTCAGCCAGGACTGGGGAAAGCAACCCCCACCCCCTGACCAGGAAAGAAAGTCACTGAAGCACTAGAGTACGGGTGTAGGAGAGGCAGCAGCGGTGAACGCCCCTGCGCAGAACAAAAGCCCTAAAGCCGAGGAGGTGCCATGTTTCAGCGATGCCTCTTACCTTCCGAGGCTGGCCCTTCTTGTTTGTCCTCGTCGGAAGAGGAAGATGCATCAGCCGAGGATTCACACTTCCTTTTGAGCGCAGGGATGTTGCAGCCCTCGAGGTATCTGCAGGAAAGCAGAAACCCTTTCGTCCGTCGTCCGGCCCACCCCCCAAAGTCCCCAGAGCAGTGGCTGAAAGGCAACTGAAAAACCTCACTAGGCCACTTCTGCTGGAGGACGCTCGTGAGAGGGGCTTCCCGCAGGAGTAGCCTCCATGGACAACACAGAAACTACCTTCCCCGGCTCCCTCGGGAATGGTGAGAGATTGCAGGATCCGTCAGAAAGAAAGACATTAAACCTCCTAGACTTGCATGTGGCAAGCTGTTGCCTCTCACTCTGCTATCACAGTCAGAACTGCAGAAAGGTCGTGTGACTCTGGAGTCTCTCCCAGCCTCACTGATGCACATCTAAAGAGTCAGGATCAATCCCAGTGGGAAGCCCTTTGATTCCAATTAGAGAGAGAAGAGAGAAAAATCCTGATCCGATCCACTGTCCAAACTTCACAGCTGATTCTAGGGCTGATCCTGGCCTCTTTCTCATCTGCTCATTGCAAGTCCCGCGTCAGTAGCCGCTTGAAAAGGACTTCAGAATATCCGATTCGGAAGCTTTCCTAGCCTGCCTGTTCTTCCTGTTGCATCAGCGCGTGAATGACTTCCACGTGGCTAATATCGGAAGGCTAAAACTCCATCAAACCTGTTCTGAATATTCCAGAGTCTGGAGGGATTCCCTTTCATTAGCCAAGCATGAATCTGTAGCCAGCCTGGGTCTGGGTGGCAGGCTTCACCACCACCACCATGGAGCAAGACTTTGGCGACTGGCAGGTTTAATATTGCCGAGGCTTAGTTTCTGTCTACTGAGATAAAGAGGAGGGACAAGTTTCTCTCCTTGTAGGAAACCACAGAATCCTGGAACCACAGAGTTCAGAGGGGCCTCTACGGCCATCAAGTCCAACCCCCTGCTCAAGGCAGGAATCCAAATCAAAGCAGATCGGACAGAGGGCTGTCCTGTTTTCTCTTGAAGGCCTTCAGCATGGATGAAACGGATTGACGCGCCTGTGCCTTGGTTTCCCTTCAGTCTGAGTTGTGCTCTCTCCACGCTTCTACTGACTCTCAAGACATATGGAGGAAAAGGCTGTCTGAGCAAGCACGTGGGAACTCAAAGGCCAGGATGCTGGAATACCATGATGACCCTGCCCCTGCCCCTTCTTACCTGATAATGCTGTCCATGCTGTTAATCTGCTGGTAGGACAGGAGGCCATGGGGGCTCCTCCAGTCCTTGCTGGAGGCTGTGGGGAGCCCTCTGCTACTGCTGCTGCTGTGGTGGTGGTGAGGGCCAGTGGCAGGGTCTGGCAACCGCAGGGCTGTGGACTCCTTACCTGCATGCCATCAAGAGAAAGCAGTTAGCTGATGATCAAGCAGCAGCCCCAAATACTCAGTTCCAGCCTCCAGATGGCACGGTGAGACTTCCACAAGGCAATCCCACCCTCACCTCCTTGTAGGTCTCAACTGCAAGAGCTACCCGAGACCAACCTCTGCAGGAGTCCCCGGTGCTTCTGCCCCTACTCCTCCTTCCCTGCAGCCCACGGACCACCGCATTCCCCAAAATCTTCCCGGGGGGGGGGCAATTCCTTCCGCAGCCTCCCAGCAGCTTTAACCACTGCCTGGCTTGTAGGTGCCTGCACTCATGGCAAAACTTGTCCATGCCTAGGACCAGCCAAGGATTTGTCCTTGCAGCCCTCTAGAGGCAGGGGGGGCATTCCCTCTCAATCCCCCACCCCCCCCAAAATCAGGTCTGCAAGAACCCACCTCTGGGCAGCTCTTCGCTGGGAGCTCTGCTGCTTCTGTCCGGCCTCTGGCTGTGCGATGCGATGTACAGCTGCTGGCCCACGTGCTTCAGCCGGTTGATGTCCACAAAGACCTGCTGGAGTGTCACCTGCGGAAAGAGAGAGGAGGTGTCACAGGAACAGGCAAGGCGCTGGCTCACCTGCTCTGTGAAGGGTTGGTGGCAGAGCTCCTGCCCACCCACCTGGGCTCTATGCCAGCACTGAGCTAAGTCCTGATAGGACCCCTCTCCAAAGGGATCATAAGGGATCAGAGCACGTCCTCTGAGGGTAGGGAGCTGGCCTTTGTGAAGCAACGCTAGAGAGGGGCCTGAACTGGGGCGATCCTTGGCTCAGTAATACTTTTGAGTAAGAAGGATCTTGGAATTGTTGTAGATCAAAAGCTGAATATGAGACAACAGTGCATTAACAGAAGCTATAGTCTCCAAATCCTGGGACCTAGTCGTTTGGCTCGACGGGTCACAGGTGAGGCTTCATCTGGAGTCATGTGTCCAGTTCTTGACACCACACTTTTAAGAAGGGTTGCCAACAAACTGGAGGAGGTTTAGAGGAGGGCTACAGGAAGGATCAGGTGACTGGAAACCAAGCCCTAGGAGGAAAGACTGTAAGAAATGGGCCTGTTTAAGCCTTGAGAAAAGAAGGCTGAGGAGAGATACGATAGCAATTTTCAAATCCTTAGAAGGCAGTCATGCAGAGGAGGGGCAGGATCTGTTCTCGATCATCCCAGAGTGCAGGACACGTAATAATGGGCTCAAGCTACAGGAAGCCAGATTTCGGTTGAATATCAGGACAAACTTCTTAACTGTTAGAGCAGCACTGGCTAATACTTTGAGAAGGACCTTGGAATTGTTGTAGATCAAAAGCTGAATATGAGACAACAGTGCATTAACAGAAGCTATAGTCTCCAAATCCTGGGACCTAGTCGTTTGGCTCGACGGGTCACAGGTGAGGCTTCATCTGGAGTCATGTGTCCAGTTCTTGACACCACACTTTTAAGAAGGGTTGCCAACAAACTGGAGGAGGTTTAGAGGAGGGCTACAGGAAGGATCAGGTGACTGGAAACCAAGCCCTAGGAGGAAAGACTGTAAGAAATGGGCCTGTTTAAGCCTTGAGAAAAGAAGGCTGAGGGGAGATACGATAGCAATTTTCAAATCCTTAGAAGGCAGTCATGCAGAGGAGGGGCAATTTTCAAATCCTTGGAAGGCAGTCATGCAGAGGAGGGGGCAGGATCTGTTCTCGATCATCCCAGAGTGCAGGACACGTAATAATGGGCTCAAGCTACAGGAAGCCAGATTTCGGTTGAATATCAGGACAAACTTCTTAACTGTTAGAGCAGTATGACAATGGAACCAGCGATCTCAAGAGATGGTGAGTACTCGAATGCTGGAGGCATTCAAGAGAAAATTGAACAACCACAGCAGACAGATCTTTTTTGATTTGGACTCCTGCACTGAACTGGGGTTTAACTTGATGGCCTTATGGGCCCCTTCCAACTCCATGACTCTACAGATATCATTTGCTTCCCTGTATCTACTGTAAATAATGGCTTCCTCTAGGCAAATTTCTGAACAGACAAAAATCTTTGGATCCATTTCTGCCGTCTTCCTCCTCCTTGCTAATTAACATAACGATGCACCCAAGGTTTTCTATCATTTCACATGGCACAGGTCTCCTGCCAGAGTGGCACTTCTGTTTTGACCAGCAGCAAGGAGAGACTTACCGGTTCCCTAGGCAGCTCCTCCACGCCGTGTCCGTTGGAGTCACTGGAGGAGGCGACACTGATGTAATGTTCGTAGGAGGCATTGCTGACGAGGCTTCCGTAACCGCTAGAACCGTGGCTATGGATCGGCTGCAAAAGGTGCAGAAGATTTTCAGAGGTCAGTGGTGGGGGAAGGAAGATGGCCTTGCTGGCTGGCTGCACGACCCTGCATCTCACAAAGAAGTGGGCACAGGAAGGGATGGCTACGGTCCATGCAAATGGATTCCAGGTAAAACCTAGTCATCTTCAGGGTGCTACAAGATTGCTTCTTGGTTTGCTAGCCGCAAAGTAACTGTTAAGAGCAGTATGACAACGGAACCAACGATCCATGGAAATGGATTCCAGGTAAAACCTACTCATCTTCAGGGTGCTACAAGACTGCTTCTTGGTTTGCTAGCCGCAAAGTAACACAGCGACCCCTCTGGAAGCAGAGAGGCAAAAGCAGCTTACGATCACCTCTATTCCCAGGACGGCCAGGCTTTTCTGCACTGTCTCCCTACCTGCAGAAGCATCTTATAGATCTGTCCTTGCAGCTCCCAGACCTCTTTGTCCACTGGGCTTCTCCCTCTGCTCCTGGCTGCAAATACATCCTCGTTCAAAGGGCTCCTGGAAAGCATTCAGGGAAACAAAAGCATCACACCAGAGCCAGATTTTTTTTTAAAGGTCTGCATGAAAGGATCAAAGGCAAGTACAGGTCTCTCTGAGGAAGACAATCAGCTCCACAGCTTTGAGGTGCAATTCAGAACTCTGGCTCCCCAAAGGTGTAAAAGAGCCGCACAGCTTGGCGAGAGTGCAAGGAAAGAGTCCTCCTCCTAAACTGGAGGCTTTCGTCTGTTGTGAGGTGCTGTCGGCTCCCTTCCAACTTGTGGGGGTCCCGAGTCGAGTTTCCAAAGAGTCATGCCCTTCCCCCCCCCGGCTAGGGAGTTTCCATGGCCAAGTAAGAATTTGAGCCCAAGTCTCTAAAAGTCGTAGCCCGGCGCTCTATCCACACCACCCTGGCTTAACTTTTCTGCAGAAGGTGTCAATCAGAGGGGAAACAGAGCTAGGGAAATGTCTACAGTCAGAGTTTACAAATTACAGCTGAGCTAAGAAAGCTAACAGTTACCTCTTATAAGCCAGACTATCATAAGAACAACATATTATATCAGGGAATCAGAAGAGATCTCTGATTACGTAATTCAGGGCTGTAGGGAGGTTTTAACTCACAATCTGATCTTCATGCCTCCGTTTGTAATTGTCTCTCTCTCTCTCCCCGCCAGCTCTCCTCCCCTCCCCTCCGCCCCATGTATATTTTACCAAAGTTCCAATATAACGTATATAGACTGCTGTTCTCTGGCATCACCACAGAACTATTGTATGAGGAAGTGTGACAAATTGACAAATAAGCTATTCACTTGGCAAGAAAGAGGTTCAATTTAAATTAGAAAGATGAAGAAACAAAGACTGTTTTCCTTCCCAAGGGGTTCCATTGTATGTTAAACATTAAATTCATGAAAGCATGATGCTCAGAGAGCACAAATTTGACTTTTCAGGTGTCATTTCTAGGCTGGTTCAGAGAGCTTCCCTGCTTGGGTGTGGGCAGGTGTCAGAACAACTCTGCTAGGCGCTACTTGTTTTTAAATCAGAATTCCCAACGGACTCCATTTTCTCGGGTGTGTGCACATTTTTCTTCACAGCCTGGAGAAGGGTAATTTATTTCCTCCTCCAACAGCTTTCATGAGGAATGATCCGACTCCGTCTCGCTGCTGCAGGCAGATAATCAGCAGTCAGGCACAGAATGAACACAGCCCATCAGTACATTAAAGGCTGAAAAATGTGCATGTTTTTCCCCCGCTGCATGAGAAAGACACATTCTTGAAAGGTACGCAGGTGTAGTGATTCTCCCGTATTCTGTTTCAAAGGCATTCTCTTTGACTGTTAGCCAAGGGCTTAAACTTGAATTATTCCAGATTAAGCTTCCCTGAATTCAAGGTTACTTACTTCCTGGCTTTGTGACCTTAACTTACGTTCTGACTTTGTGCCGACCTATGATGAAGGCGATCTTCCGACTCCAAGGATTGACAAAACTGGACCAGCTGGTGTCCAAAACCACATAGTCCCCGTTCTGAGTACAAAACCGGATGGGGGAGTGTTCAAAGGGAGCCTGGCCAGCAAACCGCAGGACTGCAAGAGAAGCAAAGGGGGGGGGGAGATTGCTGGGGTGGAGAGGAAGCATACAAAGGTCTCACTCCTCTCCATGGGAACGAACAGGGAGACCAGATGCCAAGTTCTGCCAGCCTGAGAAGTCCGCCAGAGAACTGCCACAAAGGGAGGCAGCAAGTTGGTGCAAGAACAACAGACTGTGCCCAGTGGCCGTCTCCCTTCCAGCAGGTGGCGTCAGCCTCCACGGCCACTGGGACGGTGCCCTCACCCAGGGGCCTTCCTGACCAAGCCCGCCAGAGGAGCACCGCTCGTCCGCTGAGAGCAACCCTTGAAGATGCAATCCCTCCAGTTTGGTGGCGACTCAGGCTTACCCTTGCGGTGAACCGCCACCATGAGAGGCTGGTCGTCTGGGTGAAGATACATCAAGATGGAGGTACCGATCAAGTCCTGTGGAAGGTATCCCAGCAGGGGCACCGCTCTGAAACCAAGAGAAGAGGCGGTGCATTTACATGCATTTCCTCACCAGACAGCTTTGCTGTTGTGTTACAAAAAGCCCAGTGGCCCTCGAGGTGTCGTTCAAAGGAAGAAATGAACAGGGTGGTCTTGGGACTGTGGGAGGAACTGGCCATTTACAGTTCTCATTGAGACAGGCCGGCGGGACCACCTGCAATTGGATGAGCCCCCACAGATTAGGTGGCTACGTGGATGGACACTGACTTCATGACCCTTCCCTAGGCCACCAAATTCTTTTTCTCAGAATAATAGTAATAATCTTAGAACTGCAGAACTGGAAGGGACCCTGTGAGATCATCGTCTCCAGCCCCTGTCAAGCAGGCACAAGAGGGCAATCAAACTCCCAACTTCTGGCTCTGCAGCCAGAGACCTAAGCCCCTGAGATATCAAAGGGCTTGTCCTTTTCCTTCTTGATTAACTATGAAAAGTCAAAAACTGTGTTGATAAAGGCTGGGCTTTGGGAGGCTCTGTTCTCCCCAACAAGGCTGCTCCTGTCAAAACCATCTGCCAACCCTCCTTTGAGTTCAGATTCTTCCCAGACCTCACACTCTTGGGCTACTCTCCGTACCCTACGCAACCAGGTGAATCTCCCCAGAAGACATTCCTTCTCCCAATCACACCCCTCAGAGGGAGGCCAACCGCCTCACCTGTCATCTGTCTCCAGGAAGACACAGCCTGGGCTGTGCATTGTGGTGAAGATCCTTTTTTCTAGAGGAATCCGAGGAGCTAAGGGAAAAAAAGAGGAAGGGAGGGGAAAGACACAAACGGAGTAAAACCCACAGAGTCAAGATTCACTCACACTCAGCAAACGGACTGCACTTTTCTTGCTGAAGCGAAGTCATACATTACGGAACGCTTCTTGGAACCCTTCTCTCCTGTAATCCTCCCGGGTTTGGGTCAGCGATTGGGCCAGGGAAGCGACTCCTAAGGGGACAAAATCCACCGACGACCACCTATGCCCTGGCTTCATCATTCTTTGGCTCCTGAACACAAGGTCTGGATTATTTCTACCCTGGGGGGGACATTCCCAACTGCTCAACTGAAAGAAAGGCCAACTTTAGAAGCCAGTGTGTGTGCCCTGGGGTCCAGCTGGGTGCAATTCGGCTCCTCAAAAGTCACAATCACCCCAAACTTGGGTAGGCCTGCTGGGCAAGGAAGCTGACTTCATTTCATTGCCAGATTTAAACACAGTTCTTTGCCATAAAATCTGAGCTTCACAGACTGCAAGGTTCTTTCCCAAGTATGCCTATGAAGGGTTTTTAACTATTTAAACTGATTTGTATTTGCAACCATAAGAATCAGTTTAAGGCGTTTTAAATGGTTACACATCTCATTTTAAATTGCTGGAGACTGCCTTTTTTCCTATCTGCGCCCTGCTCTGCGACAGAGAAAGGTGCTGTTGGGAGAGCTTTACGAAAACCACAGACCAAATAAGTGGATGCTGGATCAAATCCTGGCCAAGTTCCCTCTAGAAGCCGAAAGGATCTAACTGAGGTTGTCATACTTTGGGCCAACGAAGAGCCAAAACCCACTGGATAAGATAATAATGCTAGAAAAAGCTGAAGGCAGCTGGACGACAGGAAGACTGAACATGAGATGACTTGACTCAATTAAAAATGTCACGATCATGATTTTGACAGACCTGAGCAAGGTTGTTAATGACACAACTTTTTGGAGTTGCGTAGGGTTGTCATGATAGGACAGCACATAACGACGTCCATATTCTAATTAATACATAATGGAAGAAATGTTCAGCGGAAGGTGGGTCATGGACACAACAAGCTGGGGTTCTAGCCTGCCCTCCTTTAGAGAAAGGATCTCTCCCCAACTTGCCTTCATATCCAGAGTGAATCTTTTCAGCCAGGGCCAGGCAGCAGGATTCTGGCTCGCTGTTGTTAGAGACACACACGTTGACCAAATAAGGGGTGATCCGAAAGGGGTAGTAACGCCTCTCCTGATCTTGGTTCTTGCCTCCCCTGCAACAAAACCACCAACTGGTCAAGTATAGCCCACTGCAATCTCCTTGTGGCCGTAGGCAAAGACTCTGGATTCAGGTGGACTTTTGATAACCAACTGGATACTAAGGAACAGGGTCTGGGAGCTGATGTACTTTCCCGGTGCCTGTCCTTCTAATCGCTTTTTAAACGTATTTCCTTGCCTTTCTCTGCACCTTCTTTACTTATATCTTGTTGTGAGCTGCCTGTAAGTCTCTCTTTTGGTGCAAAAGAAGATGCAATTATGATTTCAAATTAATAAATATCAATCTTTACCAAATATCAAAAAATATGTGCATTTCCAGTCTTGGGAGGGGGCCAGACTGGAATATTCAGGCCCTTACAGCTCCTCAGCCAAAGTATCTACGACCAGCCTTGTAGAGGCCTTGAAACGAATTCAAATTAAGCTTGATGAATGGCGCCCCATATCTTTAAGAGGCAAAACTTCTCAGCCTCTGGTGGAGATTATTCCAGCGGCATACCAAAAGCACCTGTGCTCACGGCGATCCTTGAATACCCACGGGGGTAGGGGGTAGGCCGTGTCACTGCTGACCATCTCCTTTATGATCACTTCCTAAAATGTCCAGCTTGCAGTTTTTAAAGTACTCGCCTTAGTCCGTGCAAGCAGAGTGGATAAAAATAAATAAATAAAAACATGGTACCAGCTGGAAGATTAACTCACAATTTAAAGTGAACCTCTGTGGATCCAGCCCATTTGCTCAAACATTAGAGAGAGACTATAGGATTAGAATATTTATACACGGCCTCACGACCAGCTGAGGATACAGGTAATGGACAAAGTGACAGTAGCTGAAATCCACTTCAACCAGAATAAGTCCCATGAATCAGAGATTTGGTGAGTCAACTCATCTGCAAGTTCTTTGATTCAAGGGGCCTCCTCTAGTGAATTATGAATGGATTGCAGCCAGTGGTTCAGAAGTACACTAGTAGAATTATCAAGCTGCAAATAATCTAGTGTGCATGTAAATCTTTAAGGCTTTTTAAAAAGAATATCTCTATTATCTTTGAAAAACACTGCCTTTAGATGCCAGCAAAGCACAAAACCCTGGTAAAGGCACCTTGCAGCAACCACAGGATACAATGAATGCCTGAGCAATACTTGCCTGAGTCTGCAGAAAAAGGATTTCACTTGTGCGCGTTCATAAACGGATGCTGTAATGGGGGGAAAAGACAGAGAGGTTTTCCTTCTCTTCTTAGCAGATCATCTCTATCTGATTCACTTTCTTGTCCCCACTCCCCTGGGGAAGGGCTCTTATCAACACAGGCAGATAACCTGACCCCTGCCTTTCTCTCCCTAGAAGGCAAACCCACCCAAAAATTTGCCTGACAGAAAGGTAAGTGCAGCAGATACAGGATTATGTCATTTTGCAGAAACTTCCAAAGAAAGAGATTTTAAGGCCAGTCAGGCAGTTCTCTCTCAGATATGTGCCTTAGGTCAAAAGCAAGCGAGCAAATGCTCGAGCATCCGGGGTTCTCCATGCAAGTGACAAAGGAGAAAGGCTGCTGGATCTTGGAGAAGACAACATCACAGGGCAAAGTCAACAGGATACAACACAGACCCTCACTGGGCACCGTGGAAGTGGGGAGAAACACTCCTACAGCCCTCCTCTGCCACCTGGATGATGCTTCTTCCAGGTCTCCTGCCATCCCTGCCCGACACTTAGGTGCTGCAAAGTGGCGACTGTTTAAGCCTCCATAACTCATGAACTACAGGTGGACTAGCAGGTCAGGCTACCCTTGCACTTGGGAGGAATTCCTCCAAGTGCCTCACGCTTTATATGCGTTTTATTCGTACAGCTCCTGAAACCCAGAAGGCGTCTCACCTGTTTGAGCTTCTGTGTTCCAAAGGGGCAGGTGAGTCTGGCTGGTGCGTGCGTAGAAGATGCCCATGTCCCGAGGGGCAAGCAGCTGTGCAAAGGGGGTGGTGTCCAGGAACCTCTTCTTACAATTCAAGATGCCAGCGGCCTGCTCAGAGACATGCATCGTCTGCCCAGAGAGCAAGGAAAACACCACCACAACGGTGTCCTGGAAGAAAGACGCCCGCAGCACTCAACCCCCATCCTGCTAGAGCACTGGGATCCTCCAGTCTCACCGAGAGGAAGGTCAGCAACCTTTTACCAAGCAGGACCTCACAACCACCTGTAAAGTCTCACCTCTGAGGGTGGGCAAATCGGACAGGTCTGGAGGGCCATTTCTCGCTCTCAGGGTTGAGTGGGGTACACATACACAGCCAGAAGCCCACTTCGGGTTAGAAAAATGGATGATGTTCTGCTGTTAAACATGATGTGTGTTGCCTTGGGGCTGGGTGGGGCCGGTGGGATTTAAGATATCACAAAGGTGGTACTAATGTGTGCGTCCCTCCCTGATCTGCCACACGTTACACTAAGCTGCCACCAACCATTCCCTTTAAGAAGTCACACAGACCAGGGATGGATTTTTAAACAATAAAAAGAATAAGGTTTATTTTAAATACACACAGGGAAAAATAAACAATCAGGTGAATAGGATAAAGTAACGTGGCTTATTCTCACTCATACAAGCATACAGTTTGGTTCACACAGAACCCTTAACTTGAAGCACAGACCCTGAACCTATCAGTTCTGGCTAACCAACAGACACCTGAACCTATCAGGTTGGTACTCTGACACACAGTAGTACCCTGTCTGACACACAGACTCCCACAACAGCTTCTTCTTCCCAGCTGCTGCTTCGTCACAACCCAATGTGTGTTGCCTTGGGGCTGGGTGGGGCCGGTGGGATTTAAGATATCACAAAGGTGGTACTAATGTGTGCGTCCCTCCCTCCCCTTTTTTCGAGACAAAACTATTTCTAGAGGTAGGGGATGGGCCTGGGAGCTGCAAACCCACACACCCCAGCCAGACATGTGCATGTGGCTTCTGCTGCATTCTGCCCATCTGTTTGCACCAGGTTTTTTTTTTTTAAATGAAGCATTTTATTGTGTTGTTTACTTGTTTTAAATATTGTTCTTCTTCTGAGTTTTAATACATTTGTGTCATGCTTTTTAAATATTGTAACCATTTGTTATTGGGCTTTTAACTTTGTTTCTTTTGGATCCTTCAGGAGAAAGGCAGCGCATAAATATTTTTAAGTGAATAAAGAAAATAAATAAACAGGCTGTGAAAGTCTTGCAACCCTGTATCATTCCAAAATGAAAACATCCTAGGAAGTGATGCTGTTACCTCCCCTGGCTCCAAGCTGTCTCTTAAGAAGGGACTAGAGGTGCAGATCTAACTGTTCCTAAGAAGGTGTGAATAAGCGCAAGGGCAAGAGAAGAGTGTGTAACTCTCAGTGCCTACAAACACAATGTGTTCAGCACAACAGGTTTTGAACACCTTCTGCCAAGGGCATTGTGGAAACCAAGCTGACTTTGACTTCCTGGCACTGACAAAGAGAACCTGATGTGGGGGGAAAACAGGTGAAAGTCACAAAAAAAGCACCAGGCTGAGTCACCTGCAGCTTAGAGCCTGCCTCTTCCTACAGAGGCAGCTTAAAGAACAAAACATCTCTGATGAAGTGGGCTATAGTGCACGAAAAGAAAAAAGCTGTTTTCAGTCTTTGAAGGGACACCACCTCTTGAAAGCTAAAGTTCAATACTGCATAACATGGTTGAAATAATAAAGAAAGCCTGAGGTGCACATTCTCTGTCCCTCTCCTGCAACTGCTGAAGGCAGAAGAGAAAAGAGACCTCGCCTGGCCATTTTCATCAAAGGAGTTTCATTCTGAGAGCACCTTCTATAAAATCAGAGCTGTGGACACCACCTTTTTCTCCCTGGATGGCACTTTTGAACCTGGGAAGAGGCAGAGATGCCCAGCGGCCACCTGGGTCACTTACTGTGTTCTTGGAGGCATATTCAGAGGTGACTGCCGCCAGCTCCTCGAGGTTGTACAAAGCGGTCCCCGTCCGACAGGTACCTGGTTCACTCAACGTGGGAAGAATCTGGCTGTTGCCTGATTAGAAAACAAGGGACACAAGAGAGCAACTTCAGGCATAGCTCAGGCCACCCAAAGGGTCACCAAAGGATCATGCCTTCATGAAGTCACCTACCTCCTGGAGGCACATCAGTCCATAAAAGGCAAAGAGTTCAGGTATAGCACAAGGATTAACTCACCCACCAGACTTCTGACTTTGTACAATAACAATTAAGCTACATTTTAACAGAAAGTGCAATATGCCTCCAGGCTTGCACATTTAGAGCGCGGCAGACAGACAGACAAAGCCCAGGAGCCTGTTCTCAGGTGGGGGAAAGGCAGGAACCACCACCCCCCCCAATGCTCTCCTGTTACGTACCTTGGACCTGCCAGACACATTTCAAGGCATACTGGAGGGCGCTGAGGGTGCTCGGCTTGCTGCAGCAGTCCCCTCGCTCAGCTGGAAGATAGCGTTTCATCTCCTCGATCAGCATCATCATTTCCTCATTCCTTTGGTTCCTGCAATCAAGGGAAAAAAACAACACAACCCACAGGAGTGAATCCACCCCACACATGGGGATTCAGTAAGAAGAAAGCTTGGATTGCCAGCCCCGAGGAAGGAAAACTGGAGCATCACCTGTTGCCAGGTAGGGGCAGGGCATCTCAAAAGAGTACCCTCCAGGACAGACCCAAACAAGGACTCTGCTTCCCTCTTGAGACCAACTGCGTGATTGCACCTAGAAAAGACAACTAGAAGTCCCTATCAGGCAAAATCCAAAGAAAATAAACAAAAACAAAAAGATACAAAAAGGTGTGGCACCTTAAAGACTTACCATTACATTTTAATGTAATCTAAAGGTGCCACACATTTTTTGTCTTTTTTTGTTTTGTTTCTTTGGATTTTGCCTGATATGGTTGCACAGACTACCACCTTTTCCAAAACTACTAGAAATTCAGAAAAAAATGGAATCAATAAGGGAAGGGCATAAAACTGGGGGGGGGGGGGGGGATTCCTGTCTGATGCTCCTTTAAAAGCCTGTAAAAGGTTAGTTTAAACCGTAAATAGAAAATAACTTCATTTGAATATATTGTTTTACTTTTGAAATATTACACCATTATCCGTATCTTGTTAGCCCTAGGCTTCACTAGTCACAGAGGGCTATGTCAGTTGTGGTGAGTAACTTCCAAGTCTGGACCTCCCCCCGGGGTTCCTTCCTACAGGTGTCACCTCGTGCTCCGATAGCACTTTTCCTACAAGAGCAGCCTTAGGACAAAGGCCAGAGCATTCCCTTCTGGCCACCCAGAGGGAAAAGTCAAGACTACAAAAGGCAGAACCCAGGTTCGAACAGTCCTCCTAGCAAGCTGAAACGCTGCTCAGACGCAATTCAATGGCAAAGCTAAGTTCTTACACGGAGGCCTAAAACACAGCAATGGCTGTGCGTCTACATGACGAACGAGACGTGCGAATGAAGGCAACCCACATGCCAAGAAAGCGCGTCCAACCCTGGATGGCCCTGACAAGAGCAGAGTGTCATCAGATCACTGGAAGCAACTCAGGCCAATAGCTCCAAGGGCTCTCTGGGTTCACCCCCTAACCACGTTTGAGACTCAGTTTGAGAACGAAAATGGAAGTGACTTACCTCTGGCTGCTGCGGGATCCATTCTGGTCTCCTGACTTCCCAGCTGAGCTGTCGTCAGATTCGTGGCCATGAGGACAGCCCCTGCCACACTCCTTCTCGGTCCCACTAGAGCTGCTTCCGGTGCTTCTGTTACAAATCATCTCCGTCTCTTCTTTGAAGGTGCCATCCCGCTTCTCCAGATCGCCACCTTGCCGTTCCCCAATCTCTCCTAGATGGTCCAGCAACCAAGCTTCCTTCTGGTTCGAGAATGCGTTCTGGGGCATGTCCTCATTCATAGTGGGCTGAGGAAGCACTACGGCAGGGAGAAGCTGATTGTCCTCCCTTGGCCCATGGTCAACCTCAGGTCCTTTTCTCCCCAGGCCAGACTGAAAGCCACATGAATCAATCACAGCCTTTCAACATCATAGTTTAGGAGACAAGAAACATGCCTGGAATGGCTACTTTTGAACAGTCACTTCATCCTTTTTGATTGAAGGAAATGTCCTCTGCTTCCAGACGCACTTGAGGACTGGGTTCCACAGAGTCTTCTTCACTGCCATCAAAAGCATGGAGCGCTTTCTCCCACCTCATCCTCTTCTCATATTACGAAAACCTAGTAAACAGGGCAGTGAGAGACAACAAGTAAATTATGATATAGGGCTAATATTTTCAACCTAGCAAACCATGGTGGTGGGCAACCTACAAGCAGATTAGGAATATCCAACCTAAATGATGGAAATACTTCACTGCGTACGATACGCACTTTGCTCATTCTGAAACTTCTCGCACTCCACTGAGATTAATCAGGAACCTTTTATTAGGTGGATTCAGGGTGAGGCCCAAGCACCAAAGTACAGACCTCAGAACCACTCCTGGGATGTCATGATGCAACAGGTTTGCACATGCAGCTACGTTTCCTTTGTCAAATACCTCTGGCCACCAGATAACAAGATGCAGATATGAAAAACTGAAGCCAAATTGTTATGAAGCTGAAGCAAATCATCCTATTCTAATCAAACAAACACAGGACTATTATAATCTCAACATGCAGTTTTCTGAAGATTCACAACAATCAAAGTGCTCCTCTTCGGTGCCTTCCAGTCATAAAAGAGCCTCATCCAGAGAGAGGCAGTACAGTGAAAAACAAATTATATTACAGGAAAGAGTTCTGCGCTGACTGGATAGTTCAGTCACTTAGGAACCCAGCTGGGAAGCCAGAGTTTGGGAGTTCAATTCCCCTCTTCTATGAGAAAAGCCAGCGTGGGTAGCCTCATCCAAGACCACCCACAGAATAAGGTAACAGTAATTTATTTCAGAGTACTCTATACCTAGAAAACCCTGAAAAGGGTTGCCCTAAGTCAGAATTGCCTCAATGGCACATTTAATGGTTTTTTAAAAAAGATTATCTTTCCATACAAGAAGATATTTTGAACAGATCATCTCTCGATTATACAACATGGGGCCAACGTAAATCGTGACGAAAGTTTCCAGCCCGTAAAGAATGGTCTGAAAAGTTTTATATCTAAAACTTGCAATGGCACAGTTCCTATTAACAGCAGTTCCTCAGACACCATTCACAAACATTTCCATTAAGAGTAAACATGCATGCCAAATCTTCCACAGGACTGACACAAACAGAACAGGTGAAAGAATTAGCAAACGTCGCAGCTAGCTACTCTGAGAGGGCTAGCACAGCTACCATGGCAGAAAATGATTACCCACCCAAACACAATACTGTACTTGCTTTTTAAAAGACCTCTGCACACCTCATGTTCTCCCCTTCTCACGATTATATAATATTTAAGGCATCTACTCATTAACTCATAACCAGAAATTCTACTTCTTGGCTCTCTGCCAGCTGCTGTTCAAACCTCAATATTGCATCAACCCAGAAAGAGGAAAACAAGGTTTCAGAGCAAGGCAGGGCAGACGACTTAAATAATGCTTGAGTATGGACTTGAGTTCCTGGACTCACAGATGATTGAATTCAGCGAAGGTTAATCAAGCCCTGCCTTTATAAGGAAACGCACAAACACCTCGGGCACCCAGAACTCAGCTCCTTCTTTGTTTTTAAGCCCTGAAAGGACCAGGAAGCCTGATCATGTTTTTGAGCTGGTTTACAATCCTGGCTTGGCTGTCAACTATCGCCTACAGTTTCTAATGTGGATGTAATGACGAGAGGCAGTTCAGGGTGGGTTTCTTGCTCACCTGGAAGGGGAAAAAAGCATAAAGCATCTGATGATGGGTGTGTAGGCAGAGCCTGCCTTGTTAACCAAGAACTATAGCTTAACACAGCGGACAGTCAAACAGGATCAAAGGGATAGAGCATGGATCACATCAGGGCCTTTTGAGTGAGCAAAACAACACTGAACACACAGGGGCCTCTCTCCCGTCTCAGCCTCCACGATTTAGTTGGCAAAGTATGTCAACGAGGGATCAACTCACAGGGGCTTGGTAAGTTGGAACAATAACAACAACCACAAAAGCTACAGAAGGATCTTCGTACAATTCAATTTTTCCAAAGGCATCCCAGAACACAAGGTGTGTGTGTGGGGGGGGGACACCCTATACAACATCATAGGAGTGCAGCCAAGTCAAGAAATCTCAACTTCTGGTCAGGACAGAGGGACCAAAGGTATCCTGGGGTCTGGCTCAGGCATAACAATAAACACATGTAAACATGTTGAACAAGTACCAAGTTTGTGGCAAAAGACGGAGATCTCGGTCAATCGTGAGCTCATCAAAAGATAATATGCAGATTACAACAGCACCATCTTGGCATTTAATGATGTAGTTCAATTTCAGACAGAGGCAATATGGCATCCCCTCAACATCACAATTATATTTTAAGGTAGCAACAGAGATCTCCCATTTACCAACCCACATCAGTGATGCGCCCACATTAGTTTTTCATATCTTGGAATCAGAAACTCTGGAAAAAAAAACACTTTAGTGTAAGTATATACAGTATACAACTCTTTCATAATGGCCTGTTCTGGAACAAGATACAGGTTATGTCACTTGCTGAACCAACGAAAAGCCCCCTCCCAAACTGTGCACTACTTGGGTGTAGCGGTGGGAATGAACCTGGAACAGACAGTAACGTCCTATTACTCAGGCATTTCTGGTTCCCGAAACATGGAGTAAAGGAAAGAGGCTTTTGAGAAAGTCTCAAAACTTGGAAGAAAAAAAGCTCTTTTCCTCATCAATCAACAGCAAAACTTGTTGGAATTGTGAAGGGTAGACAGAACAGGTCTGACATCAGAGACTGTTGTTTTTTCCCCTACAGATCTATGGTAGAACACTTTTATCTACCAATCCAGCAAGATCCTGTTCTTGGCATGCACCAAAAAAAAAAAAAATCCCCAAAGAAATCAGTTTGCAGTATCAAGCTGCTGAAGGTGAGTGCTGTAAAAAACTATTCTGTGCAAGGACTAGTGATTTGAGAGAGAAAAGGTAGTCTCGGGGGCTATAGAAAAGCAGAGAACAAAATGGAAAAAGAGTGAGCAGGCCTGCTTTTAGGAGGCACACATCCTCACCATCCTGTGTGGAAAAAGGATTCCCATTGAACAGCACACCAATCCTAGAGAAGTAGGTGCAGCTAAGCAGAATGTATTCCTCTTGCCTGTCAATTATTGAATCTCATTGGGGCAGCCCGCATGCAACCTTTGAGATTTCTTGCAAATCTTGGAAAAGCAAAGGTTGGGGGACAGAAAGCAAAAGAGAAGGGAAAAGAGGGTCACCCTCTTTTCAGCACAGCTTGCAGAACAAAACATTCCAGGTGGTGGACTCTTCCCAATGGTTTCTCTGCCCCAACCATTGCCCAGTATCTGGTTCAAGAAAAAAAAAAACATGATATGGAGCAAACCTTGCTTTTTGCTTTCTCTGCTCCCATTTGTCCGCCTCCGGCGCTCTGCTGCTCTGGGGTTTCCCAGGTTCAAACCAAGGTACCATCTCAAGACAAGTGGAGGCTCTCCCTCCAAAAGCTACTGCCAGCTCAATGCCAGAGAGTCAAGAAGGAGGTAGTGGTTCAGGGCAAGCCCGTTTCTTTTGCATTATCAAAAATCTACATGGGCATGGCCAAATCTAGGGACCATTATTCAAATATGCCAGCCACAGTCAATGAGAATTACAAAAATATTGAGTTGTATTGTATATCAGATATAAGTTTTAACCAAAAAAACTAAGTATCTGTTAAATATTGGAGCAGTGTGTACGCTGTTACTAACATTCCCATTTTTTGTAGTTCTGATGATGTGATTTCTGAGATCTGCAACTGCTTATAGTACTGTGTGAAGTTTCTTGATATTGTCCCCAAAGCCCTGATGACTATGGGGACCACTTTCATCCACAAGCAAGATGTTTCGATTGTCAGGTATCTGTACTTTTGTTAGTTTTTCCAATTTTTTATTTTCAACTCTGGCATCCTCTGGAGGTGCAACGTCAATGATCCAGACATTTCTTTGTTCTATTACTACTATGTCTGGTGTGTTACGTTCAAGATGTCTGTAAGTTTGGATCCAGAAATCCCACAAGATCTTGACTTCCTCATTTTCTGATATCTTCTCTACCTGATACTCCCAGGGGTTCTTGGAGGCTGCCATAATGACCAGTGCACTAACTTTGCCACTCTATCATACCTAATTTGTAATCTGTGCAATCTTTGGACAGTCACAGATGAGGTGTGACCAGTTTCATCTTTTTCTTGGCAGAGTCAACATTTGCTGTTAGCACTAATTCCTTGGATCTTTTATCATGTTCATCATGTTGGAGGGGTTGTTATTGCCCAGCAAAAATCAATCCTTTGCTTCCTTTTTTAAGGGGTCCGCAGCTTTAGCCATGCCCATGTTGAATGATGATCATGCTTTCCAATCAGGTGTTATCCATGTAGTACTCTATTTTTTCAGCTATTTGATTTATATTTCAAATGGTTGTTTTCTTATATAGAGCCTCTGCTTCTTTTGCTTTCAAAATATCCCCCATTTTCACAGCCTTAACTAATTTTTGCTTTACTTGTACTAATACAGTCATTTGGGTTACTGCTGTAGTTGCAGCTATCCACAGCCTCCAATTTTTCGTGGCAAATCTATTATTACTGTTATTATAATTATTATTATTGTTACCCTACTTAAAAGGACCCAATACGGCTTACAACCATCAAAAGCCAATACTTAAAAGCCAAAAACAGTAAACGTACAAATAGGATCGTACCAGTCCCTGGGGTGGGGAGGGAGGCAGGGAGGATAGTGGAGGGGAAGCGATGGTTGGGGGAGGGGCCGCCCGAGGAGCAGGTGGGGGGCTTTCCTACCCCCGTTGAGAAAAGCCACTCTAATGCCCAAGGGCTGTGAGGGGGGCACAAAGAGAGGGACTACAGATCCCAGAATCCCCCATTATTGGAGGAGCCCCCCTCAGAATTCGCCGCCCCCCCAAGGTACCCGCTTCCCGGCCCTCGGAACCCCTCCCGGGTCCATACTCACACGGAGACCACTGACCGAAGACGGAACTGACTACACATCGTCCTCCTCCGGCGCCGCCTCCGGCTTCTTCTAGCCCCTCACACTTTCACACCGCCGCGCAACGTGAGGGAAGCCCCGCCCCCGGAAGGCGATTGGCCCGAGCGGTCCATTCACGACGAGGCGATTGGCCAAGAGGGTACCCCCGCCGCGTGAGGGAAGCCCCGCCTCCGGAAGGCGATTGGCCCGAGCGTTCCATTCACGGCGCCGCGATTGGCCAAGAGGGTAGACGCCTAGGGAGGGCGGGGCGGGCACGCGGCGAGGAGCGCTCGGCGCTCCCATTGGCGGGCCGCGAGCTCGCTCGCGAGAGGTCGGGTTCCTCGCCCCGTGCCGGGCTTTGGGCCACGCCCTCTCTCCCTCCCGGGTGGCTCCCCAAACAGGAACGAGAAGACCCCGCCCGCTCCTTTTTCCTGCGCACGCCCAGACGTCTGGAGACGCTTGTGCCGCGCATGCTCAGTCAAGCCACGAGAGGGGCGGTCTTTTCCCGCCCAATTTGAGGCGGGCGAGGCCTTCCTGTCAGGCCGGGAGTGTTACTGAGGGGAAAGAGGGCTACCTCCCTGTCACGGCCGGGCTCTGTTCCTCTTCTTCTATGGGAACCTCTCCCGACCCAGCCCTCATGGGCTGAAAATCCTTGCCTGACATTCTGCCATCCGTAAGGGTGGAAACCTCACCTGTTGAACTTCTGCCTCCATTGGAGAGGCAGGCAGAAAAAGGCGCTTGATGAGGACTAACCAGCCCTTTATCTCCCGTTCTTCCTCTCCCAAGAACCAAGTGCACCCAAGCACCTGTGCAAATAAAAGTGGAAAGCAAACCCCTCAAATGCCTGGGGAATGAGGAATTAGCCATCTCTCTCTCTATATATATAGAGAGAGAAAGAGAGAGAGAGAGCTGTCAAAGAGGCATGCAATTAAACCAAAAATTATGCCCACACCAATGCCAAGTGCAGCACAGCCCACTTGCACCCCAATTACAAACAAAAAAGAAAGTAAAGAAATGCAGAGCCAGATAAGATTTCCAATCCATTTTTATTTAACAGTGAAAATGCGGCTTTCCTGTGCAATTCCAGGATGTTGCATAACTGCTGCCTCCTCCCCTGTAGACAACGCTTTCATCCAGAAAAAACAGTCATTAAAGCGTGGGTGTTAGTAAAAATATCACAAGTTTTACAAAACTGACAACCCTGTTCCCTGTTCCGTAGTTGGGCCAAGCTCCAAGTTTAGGCAATGAGTCACCAAAATATTATTTAAAATGTACAGTGTCTTCCGTTTCGAAAGGGAAAAGGAAAACTTAAGATTCGTTGCACTTCCTCTCTCCCAGCCCTCGAAATGAGCAACTTGCAACATGTTACAGGGTTTAAGGACCTCCTAGCAAAATTTATTCCAAAAAACCACACACAGAGAAAAGGCATCTAAAATTCTAAACAAACAAAAAAAATCCAGTGCTACACATTCGGCCATGGTGGTCAGACCATTTATAGGACCTGTTCTTTGGGCCATCCTTCGTCCGCCTCCAGTTTGTGCCCCTAAGTGGTGGACGGGGACAAGGAAAACAGGAAGCCAAATGGAGGTGCAAAAAAATGGAAAGTAAAAGCAACACACAAGATTGTGTGTTCCTTGGCCCACGAGGGTCTGAGATATACAAGGCACTTTCTGAAATATAGAAGAGACAATATGTGCTTTGCCACCAGGCCTTCTGTTTTTAAGCGTGCTAAAACCTCTTGCCGGTATCGATGATGATCCAAAACAGGAAAGAACAAAGCATTGTTCATTTACTTTTGATATAATCTCCATTAACAAATAACATCCTGCTGGTAATGTTGAAGGAACGACTTCCCGAAGCTTTATTTTTTGCCAGATAACTCCTAAAGCTTTAGCTAGTGCATCCAGAATTACAAAGCATTTAAGAATACTTTATGGTGTTTGTTCAGGTCCATGGAATAAGGCACCAAGTAGTGGCAGTTTGTTGTGAGGAGAACAGCAACTATAATGTGGGGCTTTGTTTGTTTGTCATAAGTATTATAAAGTGTCTTGGTTGTTATTTTAAAAGTGCTCCGTGTCTACAACTTCACCACATCACAGTTTAAAGGCAGTGTGAGAAGGAATGGTATTTGTTTAGGAAGGCCAGTTCCCCAAAATTAATATCTACTATTTGATTAAGGCAACATCTGTTCCATATGATACAATCATATGCAAGATAATTATTTCTTCCAAAGGCAGAAAATGGGAACCGGTCTCCATCCTGCTACTGTGTCGTGCAGGCGTTTGGGCAGAGATATTCAAAATAATATGCCCAGAAAGTTGTAGTTTTAACACACGGGAGATCATGAAATTCTGAAGGCTTAAAACGTTCATCTCTAGCTCACACAACTTTTAACCAGCTTCAATCAACTGTATAGCATTTACAAGTTCAAGCACATCATTTAAATAAAGGCACACTGTCAATAAACTACTAAAGAATGAACAGTTCGATTCAAATATTAATCAATCTGTGCACCACAGGAAAGCTTGGCAAATTAGATATAAGAGCTTCTTGTACAAACAGCTTTGAAATCAAAGGTTTCCTCCAGCTGTTCATGATGACACGCTCCAAACTATTTTAGAAAAAAAAAGAAGAGAGTGGGGAAGCAAGGCTAGTTAATTAAAAAACAACACTCAGACAAGAGACACAATAGCAGAGGTCTGCAAAATTATGCATAGTTAACAGAGTAAAACAGCTCCTTTCCATTTGGAGGTTTGTTCTAATAAACTAGCAAAATCTGATGCTGCAGGGTGTTCACATGTCAGAAGCAAGATTTCCAGGGGCTTCTATTACTCTTCTATAGAAAACCGTGGGGAAAAAGATTTGTTCTGCAAAGCTGGAGGTCATTCTAACCTGTGCCACACAGAGGACCTCCAACCCAACATCCTGTAACGTTGAACGGCAGCCCCAGCTACCCTACCACCTCTTCTGTGGGTAAGGAGTGAGGTGTTCCCGGGGAACACTCCATGAACCAGACCACCCTTGTCCTTAAAGACTTGCCTCTTAGAATACCTATAAGCGCTTCCTGTTTGACACTGCTAGATGGGATATATTAATGAGTAAGATCTTGTGGAGGGCTTCGTGTTACATGCAACTCTATTGACATTAATAGATCCTAGATCCGCCATGGGTCTCAGCCATACAAGAAGACAAAAACGTCTATCCAGAGTGCGCTTTGTGACTTTCAGTGCCCAGCTCAAACAAAGCCAGAAGATACTCCACAGCCACATCATGAATGACTTCCCAAAGATCTCAACCTCATCGTAGCCCAGATGGCAGATCAGAGGGAGGGGCACAATCCATTTCTTTTGGGCTAAACCATTGCTTTTCAGAGTCCCAAGCAGAGGAAACTCACTTGGACCAATGAGACTTTGGTAACTCAATGCTTGTGTAAAAGCCAAAGATCTGCTCTACAGTACAACTGTGGCTAAACGGCATCTAGCGGTCTGCACCCCAAAATCCCTGACTAGGACTTGAAGGAGAAAAGGGACTCCTATTGTGAGCAACACCGATGTGGCGGCTTGTCACACAGCTGCAATTCACTTACCAATGATGATGATGATGATGATCACCACCACAGCGATTAATATGGCCCACATCTGCCAAGAAAAAGAAAAAAAGGAGTCAGAGCACTACAGTTACTTACAGAGGCATCTCTCAGAAGTGGCAGGATTAATCGGTTTTATAGAATGCACATGCTTTGTGAGAATTTAGGGCAAAAAAAAAAGTTAGTAACTTGGGAGTTTCCTTTTTTTAAAAAATACAATGCTAAAAAGCAGACCACCGTCCTGAAGACATGAGGCCTTAAAAATCCTCACAACCTATCTGTGAGCATATATAGGATGCAGGGAACCCCAAGTGTTCGCTCACAGTCCTTCAGGGACCCCTGAGGCAAGAGTGGATTCCCAGCATTTGGCAGCTGAGATTTCGACTGGGGCAGCCCCCCAACCCTTGTTACCTTACAGTTCTTCCACCAGTATTTCCTTTTCAGCTTTGCAGCGTTTGTTTCAAACTGGGCCGCCCCGGCTTGCAAGGCATCTGCCCGGTCGTCCAGCTCGGAAAGCTTCTGATCTCTTTCTAAGACCTTGTCCACATTGACGCGCATGATATCCACCACCTGGAAAGCCAGAAATTAACACCGTCTTGACCATGTATTGACTCAGAGGCTGAGCAGAGCTTTGAACTTGGCTTTTTGCTGTTCGTCAGCTGGCATCCTGCCAAAAGGATGCCCAAGTGTGCTGGATCCCCTCGTAAGGAAGCAGGGTCAACAAAACCAGGATTCCTTCGGCCCTCTGTCCACCCTTCCAAGAGAGATCCCTGTATCTCATACAAAGCGTTTATACCATCTCCCGTGTAATTAAAACCCCTGAAAGGGTGGGAGCAAAGCATCTCAACAAACAGAGAGAGGTGATAGAACCGAGGCAGTGACATGGGAGAAGAAAGGTTTGTCTGAACGCAATTCCCTGGGTTCATCTGTCCCTGGTGCTCACTCTCACTGATTAACCTTAATAGCTTGTCTCCTGATCTCCAGCATAGCCCCCACTGCATCTTACTGTCCCAGAGTCTGGAACTAAGACATTACAGGTAATGTAGGAACTAGTTACTTTTGGGGAGATGTAACCATACAACAGGAAAGGCTCAGAGTCACTCAACCGGATGGACGAATTACGAAGACAGGTTAACTTTTCTAGTTATTTTTCAAGTATAACTGCTTAAAGGAATAAAAAAAAAAACACATTCTGACACACACAGACAGATCTGCCCTTTTTTGATGCTGCCCCTCTTACGCACACCCCTCCCGCTCTGGAGTAACAAAAAGCTACAAGCAGCACAGCAGGAATGCAACGAGTTTTCTTTTCAATGTGGTACCCAGTAACAACAACACATTATTTTTCCAAACAATGTCGCGGTTAACAGTAATAAAGCCCTTCATGGCTTGGGACCATAGTCATTGCTGGAGCATCTTTTCCCAGGGTAACCTACACTGTTCCACCAGATTCTCTCAAGCAATGCTCCTTCAGGTGGCTACTCTGAAGGAGACCAGGAAACCAACTACACAACGCTGGGCCTTCTTTGTGGTAGCACCCATACTTTCGAACCAGCTGCCCATGGAGCTGTGCCTGGCCCCCTCCCTCCATATTTCCAGAAGGCTTCTGAAGACATTGCTCCATAGAGAGGCCTTTCTAAGGCATCCGGGGCTGATTTTTATGCCTCTTGTGCTGCTTTATATTTGGAATTTACACCTTTTGTTTCAACTGGTCTTGTTAGCTCATGGGTTTTATATTTAATCACATTGTTTGTGCTGTTCCATTATTCTGCTATAAACCACACAATAGTGCTTCACATTAATGGGGTGGCATTCAAATCAATCAAGAATATTCACCATAGTATTCTAGGTTTAGGTGGTTAGTCTAAGATTATAATTTTAATTTCAGTATCTTTATTTCAGGAGTGGCTATTACACAACACTTTTTCCTTATTACTGTGTTTTTTTATTTGTTGAATTAGTTGGACTGTGTTACTTGCCCTGCGGTGTAGATGTTTGCATTTTTAGTGGGGGATTTTTTAGTGGGTGGGGAGTGTTTGGGGAATTTTATGTGTGTGCATGTGTCTGGTCTCTGGGTGTCTGTGAATTTCGTTGTATGGGTATACTGTGTATATACTTACAATGACAATAAATTATTATTATTATTATTATTAATATTATTATTATTATTATTATTAATATTATTATTATTATTATTATTGAGCAGTCTAATTGCTGATTTTGTTGTTGCTCATAAGATGATGCCCTGGCTGTCTGGGTACACCGAATAGCGTTCCTTCACTAGGGGAGCAGTATAAGAATATAATAAATGAATAAACAGACAAACTCCGGAAATGTAAAAATACGACGGCCAATTTTCTGAGCACTAAAGAAAGAAGAGAGGACAGAAACCAGGTTTAAACATTGGCCATCATCAAGTAAAGGCCATTAAAGGTTATATGTGCTTCCTCTGAATTATTGTTTAAGCTTGCCGGTGAAGTGTCATCGGAACAGCAGCTGGAAGGGAAACTTGGCAGGTGATGGCCGCCGTTTCTCATCCCCCCCCCCCAAAGAAAGCAGGCAGGTCCACGTCTATCAGTCTACTTGCAGGTCGAAAGGGACGTACATACCTCATCTACTTGGTGCTGAGTCTGTTGGAGACGGCGGTTGCCGCCAGGTGCGGAGGCCGTCCCGGTGGGGCCACTGGTTGACCTGCAGATAAAGGGCAAGACAGGATTATTTTATGGGGAATACTCTGTATGAGCGACAAAGAATCTTTGAGAGAAATCGTTCCGACAAGTGTGGACTGCACAAATTGCTGCGGTGACCACAGGGTAGCGTTTTTGGCTGGCCTAAATCAAATACAGTGGTGCCTCGCTTAGCGATCGCTCCGTTGAGCGATGAATTCGCATAGCGAGGGGGTCCGGGCCATCCCTGGAGCGTTCGCTCAGCGATGGCCCCTATGGCGGTTTTTTGCTGTGCGACGATCGCTAAGCGATTCGCTTAGCGATTTTCGCACTACGAAGCGGGGGGAAACAGCTGATCGGCGGTTCCAAAATGGCCGCCGCAACTTTTCCCGCCGCACCCTCGCTTTGCGAGGGCCCGAAAATGGCCGCCCCTATGGAGAAGCTTCGCTCAACTGTAAGTTTAGGGCCCATTGGAACGCATTAAACCAAGTTTAATGCGTTTTAATGGGTTTTTTCCTTCCGTTGAGCGATGTTTTTGCATAGCGAAGGTTAATCCGGAACGGATTAACCTCGCTATGCGAGGCACCACTGTACTGCCCCCAACTAAAGGCTAAAATTAAGGATAAATTTAAGAGTATTCTTGTCACCTTATCCCAGGAAATAAAGCATAACCAACATCCACTCAACTAACTTTTGCATCCACTCAACTAACTTTTGCACTCCACACGGCCCTGGCTTTTTAAAATATTCACACATTGTCTTCCCATTGGGTCTGTGGATTCTGCCTGTGAGGAAGCAGAATGCCACCGAATATCAGCTGTTGGGTGTCAAATGTTATGGACAGCCCCTGGCACCAACCTCCATGCCCTGTGGCTTTTGAGACACATTTAGTTAACGGTCCCATTCAGAGACCCTCGAATAATTAAAAACAGATCCATGAAAGAAAAATAAAGATGCTGAGGGTGGCAGTAGAAGCCAAGAGGAAGAAACAAGGTAGAAAATTAGAGCTTCAAAAGTTATTGTTTTTTACACAAAAACTATGAGTAAAGTTTCAGCAGAAATATTTGCATCTCCAGCCATCCACCCGTTAAGAAGTTCTGTTTACGAATGACTCGGTTCTGTTATTAAACAGGAAAGAGCAGTGACAAAATTCTTCCACACACATATTAAAGCCAAACTGCCTGATATCTAATCCCTCGACAAAAATGCAAACTAAAATGCAGTTCTTTTGCATTCACACTGCTTTACATTTGGGAATGCAAATTTCCAACCACATAATACACACATAATAGGTGTCTTTGCGAAGAACTAAGGTGGTGGGAGACGAGCTGGAGAAATTGCATGTACTAGACAGCTGTGTGTATATTAGGTCCTTCTTTGTCATTGACTTTGGAACTCCCTCCCACAGGAAAACAGGTTGGCCCCATCTTTCTGTCCTTCTACAAGCAAAGACATTTTTCCCCTCTCTTCAGACAGACTGTCCCAAGACATTTTTTCCCCTCTCTTCAGACAGACTGTCCCTTAGTGACTGGCTGGAGTTTCTAAATGGATAGTGCCTCGTTGCTTTTAATTGTGTTTTTAGTATTGACTGTGTTTACCATTTTTAGTACGTATTCGTGTGATTTATTGACATACAAACATTTAAAAAAGAATCCAACACTCCATTACGATGTTTTTGGCTTGTAATGTTTTTTTAATGGCATATACCGCCGCCGTGGATCCTTTTTAAGGAGCAAGGTAGGGTAAAAATAAATAAATAAAAATACATATTGGGAGTGGAAATACCAAAGGTCTTTACAAGAGAAGAAAGGTGGATAGACAGGGGCTGAAACTGAGAGATGGGCCCTTCTCAACTTTTAGGGAAACTACATTGGAGGAAGTGGTCACCGCCTCTGCCTGCTGCTGGACTTGGGCATCCAATCAACTCCAAACAACGGAAAATAAAAGTCCAAAACTGCTTTTAGCTGTTACAGTGGACTTACAGCTGTTTACACTTTGGAGGCTTAACGGTTTTCCCTTCCAGTTGCTTCTTGCTACAAACCCCAATAGCCAGTTTCCAAAGGGCAGGATCCAGCCCTCTCTGATCCTGTCCCCTCCCGGAACAGGAAAACCAGCTTGCCTCCGAATTCCTACAAAATACACCCTATATAAACAATTCTTGGGCCCACCCAGGACAACAAGCGGTTCATAAAATTTGTTTTTTGCATGTTTTATATAGACACACACACATCCTTAGCAGCCATAAAGAAGTGTGATGCCCCCCCCCCCAAGATCTAGTCCTCAAAGAAGTAGACCAAGATAGCTGGTAAACTGGGTGAGGGCTTTAAATGGGTGGAAGGAGAACGCACTCGCCCAAGGCATGTGCAGAGCGCCTTTTGGGCGACCGGAGCCTGCCTCGCGGGTGGCCAGGATGCAACCCATAGCTAGCCCCGGGCCCCTTTGCTGCCAGAATTTTAAGGGGCAGGGAGTGGCCCAAACATTTCGCCTTGGATCCGCTCCCCTTCCCGGCCATGCCGGGGTGGGGTGGGAGGAAAGCTCGGGGTGGGCAGAAGCCATTTGCACCTCCCTCCCT